TTTATTACCACTATTTTTATTATTATTATTATTATCACTAAAATTACAAACCTTGACTTATTCGAATAATTGAGACAGAGTAAGAAATAATAAAAATCAATTATTTGTTAAAGTACAACAGCTATTAGAATGAAAAAATGTATATTTATCCTATAAGCAAGTGTTACAAGAAAAAAGTGAATGGAAACTAGGTTTTATTCACTGAATAGTTAGTATATTGTGACGGTAATTACATTCTACTGGATCATCAAGCTATATAGCTTGAAAAAAAAGCAGTACAAATGTGCTCTTTAGAATTCAATTGACTCGAGAAAAAAATGAAATAAATTACACAGGTAACAGTTTTTCTAAGGATTGATCAATGTGCTTGATTTAGTTGTATAGACTATAGTCTTGGTATGCATACACCAATGATAAAAATGGCTAAATTTGGCGATGGAAGAACAAAATTAGCATTTTTGATGTAGATAAGCAGTGAGGATGAAGGAGGATTAATTAGCATAAAATCATAGTCTAGGATCTTCTGCCGATCACTAGTGACCATAAAATGATTTACTTATTTAGATATGAACAGAATTTGAAAAATAACCTATAAGCCAAAAAAACATGATCATAAAACAATAGTAACTGATCAATTCAAAAATGACAAATATTATCACTGTTTCCGTGTCAATTGTTGTTTTCGCTTTACTTAGGATCATAGTAATCCACTTCCTTTTCATTATGTGAAACAATCGATAATTTAATAATTTTATACAAATAAATTCAGTAAAATGTGAATGGAAGTCACATTATCGTGGTAATAAAGAATAGAGGGTGGAAAAATGATCACATGACTGTTAAACAATAAATGAATAATTGAACCCGGAATAAAATCACTAATTTGAGAGAAATTCCGTTTCTTTTTCACTTTTAAGCTAATACATATATAATTCCGTTTATTAAATGAAAATAATTCTGTCAAACGTGAAAACAAGATGTTGACTCTAATCACCAATTGCACAATACATATCATTGTCTATCATTCATGTTACTTGTTGCATTCTATAACGTGGAACGTTTACTGTGTAAACAGTCATGACACTCTATACTTGCTTAATGCAATAAGGAAAATGAACATTATTTTAACCCCCCCCCCCAAAAAAAATTTACGTATGGTCGATCTTCCAACTCATATCGAGTATTAATGAGAACTTCTTTCAAGATTTACAAGAACTCAAACAGCTTAGCATAATTCTGTGTTACAGAATTATACCTATCATATGATCCCAACATAGTGTGGCAATTAAACATGTTTAAGTAACTAGTAAAGAAATCAGTACTTTTCCAGTAACTATACATTTTCCTATTGATATTGACCAAGTAATTCATCCAAATGTATGAAATGAATAAACGGAAGAGGAAAATAAAGAATCAGGAAATTCCATTCAGTCAAAATCTTTTGGACTATGTGTCACAAATGCTGTCTTCCATGACATGTATCTATATAATTATGTAATGCTACCGTCCTATAAAACTAGAAAGTACAGGATGTAAAGTGGTCATACTGTCGTATGTGTTTATATATATACAAACATTGGATAAAGAAGATAGATCGATAGTAAGCTAAAGGCTAAAAAAAGAATAAAATCCACACATTTTTAACATCACATTAATTGTATATATCATCATATGACAGTACATTTGTCACGAATCATATGATTTCCTTTCAAGAAAAAATAATTGAATAGTACCGAGTGAAGTAAAGTTTTGCGAAATTGATTAGATCAGGGAAACAAAAAATTGATTATAAAAGGAATGATAATTCGTCTCAAAAAAGAAAAAAAAAGGAAATTCGATTATTAAATCTATAAACTTTTAATTAAAAAATAAGAAACAAAGTGAGTGTGTGAACAAACGATTGATCTAATTAAGAATTTATTTGATGTTTAACAATCTAAACAATTCAGTAATTGGTTATTTGAAAGCAAAAAAATATTAAAACTTCCGATGTTCTCTATAGTACTGTGAATAAAAAACTTAAGCGAAACTAAGATGTTTCAGTATACATTATTACTCGTATATATAGTTCGCTAGTAAGTCTTAAAAATACATGGAAAGCTTAATGTGGATATCACCAACTTTATGATGTCAAGTTATTAGAATTATTTCGCACTTCACAAACATAATCACAAATTCAATATAACTCTCAATTCTAACATTTTGAAAACTCTTAACATAATGGATTTCTTGTAACATCACAAACAATTTATAGATCGAAAAAAGCCAACATATACCATTAATGTTTCCATGATTGTAACTATTTTCAACGCTTATTACAATGACACTAAAAACAAGCATCTACTCCAATAACATTATGATGGAAACAATAAACTGTTATTCTCTACGCTTTAACACTTATCCTTGGATATTTTTATATCATCAAACTAGACAAATTCAAAGAGACGTTTGACTAGGAAATCGGCAAAACAAAAACTAATAACAAAGTCTAGTCATTTTTTTTAACTATCGACATGATATCATAGTTTGTCGGTGAACACACACACACACACATACTGAAAATAAAGTACCACTAAAAGAAACAATATACGTACATATACATGTAGTAACGTATATCATGTACATATTGTACGAAGATCGATTTGAATACAGTCAAATAAAAAAAATTTAAACTATTTTACTATTCAGTAATCATGTGGTGTGAGAATTAAAAGTAACTGATAATTTGGTTTGTTAATTAATTCTAAACTAAGTAAATAATCGAAAGGACGTTATCAAGAGTGTACTAACTAACAATCAAATCTCACAATATACCTCACACTTATTAATAGTTTTATTAAAATTGTATTATTCAACAGTTATGAGGATTTTAGAATTCATCAACAAGAAATATCGTCAGTTTTCACATAGTAAATATCTTTTTACATACTTTAAATCAAATTATTTAACATCGCAGACAATTACAATACCAAAGAGTTTAATATGGTTCTTATTTAGAATTAGATCACTTCCTTATGATCACATACATGAAACTTTTCTGTAAAAAGAACATAATTATAATATAACCTAGCTAGTATCAATTTATTATTTATCCGAAACCCTATACTTCGTTTTCAATTACAATTTGTGTGAGAAACAAAATATAGTACCCGTTTGTTTAAATAGATGTAGGGAGGACATCAGAGTCTAAGTTCACATGAGTTCATATGATGAATTACTCTGTCAAATCATGAGTAAACCTAACAATTATTTCGCAGTTTTATGAGGTAAAATGAATTTCGGATACGCAACTGAAAAGTTCCTAAACTATTGAATTAAAATTCCATCAGTGAAGAAATATTGATGAACTCTCTTATTTTAAGTGCTGAAACAATCTACATGTTATCAGTAAATCACAAAGTTTAAGATGACATTTCTCACAGGTAAAAATTTGTTTTGTATTGCATAGTGACTGTAATTACTAGGGTAGTCATACGCCGGCTGCACTAACTAATGACAAATTTTAACCGACCTCTCGTATTTTTTAGGATTTCATCTAAAAATTCCCACAATTTGTGTATTGAACTCTAGCTTTGCATTGTTCATTGCATAACACAAAGACTAATCAGTACCAATTTATAATAGTCAACTCTAAAATACTGAAATGAATGTTTGGACCACCACGAAAACTATGTTAAAGATAATGATATATAATTTTATTCTACATAAAATAGTTGAAACAATATTATGCAATGTTTTTGACGTGATGGAACAAAATATGTAATTAAAAACCTGAAATCTAGTTTTAGCTGCTATGTTGCATGAAATTGAAAGCTCACCTGTTTCGGTGTAATTGTGAATAGTTATTGCAAATAGTGCAAATAAATAATCTACAACATACTATTCGGATATGTACTACAGCGTAAAGCTACAGTATAGTTCCTAAAACTGTTTAATTACTGGTCATGTTATCTGTTACAATATTTATGCAGTACAAAATACAGAACAATTAATGGCAATCAGGTCATCTTATATTGTAAATAACGAACTACTAAGTGACACCACTAACTTGCTATGGAGACTATGAGATTGTAAATCGACAAACAATCAAACTTAACCTCATTTTATTCACATTAAATGAAACTGCTCGTTTGCTTGTACACTGATAAGTTGAAGAAATTGTAAGAAAGAGAGATTGATACAAGTTTTATATCCGATAGAAATTCACACGCTAAACTGTAACATGATAAGGATTTTACGTTATGAATCTTATCATGTCCCAATACCAACAGATCTCATAGAAATTTGTAAGTGGAAGTTCAGTGGTCTGTTTAAAAAAGATAAACAAGATTCGAATACTATTCAAGTGCCTTTTTAATTCGATTATACAGACTATCAAGAGGTCTCGTGAGATAATTAATGTTGATAAGAAAAGCTGTAATTTGACACTTTTCATTCAGACTGAAATCTGAGTTTTGGACTATGGGCGAATAGCACGGTTTAAAATAGCACTTAGTCTATAAGATACTGACACATTAAATACTTATCATAATACATGCTCACCGAAGTTTTAAAAAGATATAAGGATAAGACATTACCTAACAGAAAACCTTATATGAACAATAAAAATGAGTGTACAGATATTCTGTCGTTCATATTTCTGCAAAAATCCCCGATAATACATAACATTCTAATATATTTGAGTCATCCTAGTACTCAATAACCATACGATTTAGTGCACTTCTCTTTTGCATTGTATATTTATCTCATATAAGACCGCTTGTGGGAATTCATCGAAAATATGAAATATTTAAACATAATAAACAATCGAATATCTGCATTAGCTTTGCCCTTAAGACAACTTGCCATAATATATGCACTGCCTCATAAGAAAACACAGACCAATGGGTGAAAATGATCAGGAAAGTCATATCAGGTTAGTAACAGCTAAGGCACAAGAGATTTTTATATTTATCAAGATAAAAACAAAACGAATATCAAGAAAAGAATGCTGAACATACCAACACTTGAAATATCTTCTTCATTGATCACCTCACCATTAATATCGACTAATTGCCAGGCTTTCATCATGGTTAGAAGTGACAAATAATTGTTTCTGCAAAATGGGATCAATATATTTTACCTAAAAGCATGATAAATTTAATTATTCGTGTTTATCAAATATAGAAACCAAAATCCAATTAAATATGCTTGAAAAGTGTGCATCTATAACGTAAGCATAGAAAAACGGAAACAAAGTGTTTGTGCAATAATCCAAGTTACATCAGGGCATCGACAGAAAATCAACAAAAAGTAGAAGAGTTCAATAATACCAACCGTTTAATAGTATATGCACCAGAAAAATCGTTCAAAACCAAAAGGTGAGACCAAAGGATGAAACGTACGTAACGATCCAAAAGTTAAGATGAAGAGGGAGATAAATAATATGTCTATCTGTATTATTACTTCTACTGGCACCAAAATTGATTTTGGACCGTATAACGTAGCATTTCTAACTATAAATTACAACTATTACAAAACTTCCAAAGACGAAGCCTGCGTTAACAACACGACTCAGGCTATTAGTCAATGATTACGTAGATTGGTCGCACGTATAGATCTGGTCAACCTACTTCTATGTAGGAGAGCATTCCAAGACAAAGTGGGCGGTAAACAACCGTGCAGCTCGCATGTTACAGCTTTGGTTTGTAGTTGGTTATGGCTTCGTAGGTTAACGCCAGGTTGGTTATTAATTTTTGAACGCACATTTACAAGACACCTCCAAATAGTGAAAGTATCGAGTGCCTAACCTAGGATAGAGGACTATCTTTGCGGTAGAAGACAGAACGTATGAGTAAATTAGATGTAACTGAAACGAATGCATATTCAACAAAATAATGGAATTCAAGATTGAGAAAACGATAAAGATTAAATACAGCTGCTCTATTGTGAACGACTTAGAGAAATACTTTCCCAAGTCTCTAGCAGAGATTTAATCTGACTTGAATTAATTGTTCAGGTTGTTGATGATTCGATGCTCAAAAATTAATTATAGGCCGGTTTTACAGACGAACACCTCTTACCAATGCATCATACGTGGGACAAAACTGCCGTGTGGTTTAGGAAGAAACGAGTGAAGATTAATCGCAAGGCATGACGTGAGAAAGAAAGTATAATACAATTTAGCGGATAACTGGGTGGTTCATTTGATGTAATCACTTCGCACAGCCTTCAAATAGACATAGTAGTGGTTATACACTCTACAAACGTGAAAATTTACTGATAAGTTTTCAAACACGCATCTAGTTCATATTTCATTCAAGTCGCATAGTTCATAGCTTAAGTATAACGTCCGTAGTAGGACATCTCAGCATCTTTAACAAGAAAGTATTTGAGCTCCAAGATGGTTTTTGTGGTGTCTCAGAATACAAAGCGATTCTGTAGAATAATTAGAATTCTATGGTCTACAAACTTCGCCTTTCTCTAGAACTACTCGACTGTGAAGCAGCCGTACTGGGTCTGGAAACCATTATTGCATTAACTTAAGCTGTGCCCCGTTTTTCTTTCTGAGTGGTCAACAACGGGAAATTTCTAACAAAAAGACGTAACATCTATGACTGATGAATCATTTAAGAAGAAGATTAGATGAACATGGAGATACGAGCGGTGAGGTTCAAGACAAGCTAATAAATCTATCATCCACGTAGGAAAAGACCGAATGTGCTCTGAAGTGAACTCTTGAAAGAAAGAAATATTATTCACAGCGTTGTGACAAGTATTTTGTGGAATAGTTTGCAGCTTTGATTCCTTATTTATAAGAAATCCATTGATATCTTCACCAAAGAACGGCTGGCACACTCCTCACTGAGATGTGCTTTACTGCCAAATAATGGCTATGACGTTATATTCTGATAAAAATATTGTAGTTAGAACAAAGTTTTCTTTACAAATGGAGTTAAGTTGGAAACAACTTTAGGGAAGATGTCAAGCACCAAGACATAAAACAACATGATAAAAGTTATCACCTGATTCATAAAAAATATTTCTCCGGATCAAAATAATGAGAGGGATTAAAGATGACAGAAATGCATACTTGCTATCATCAAATTTACATAATCTTATCTTACGAAACTAGGAAAAGAGAGGAACCAATGACAGCAGAAGTAATCTTATTTCTCAGCTTTTGTACAACAATAAGTGAAAACTAGAAAATGTAGGAATGAACTCACAAAGAAGAGATGTAAATAGGAGACCTTTATGACCTTGAATCAGCTGTACCAAACTCAAATACGATTGGTCAATATTTTGAAATTATGGCTGTGGTAAATTTTAGATGATACATAAAAACAAACGACACCATAACAAAGAAATAATCATTATTGTCAATATCAAAGTAGTCGTGAGTATTTTTTATAAATTTCGCTTGGTTTCATATCCTTTGGCCGAATTGAGGATTTAGTATTATTCGCAAATATTAAGTCAGTAACATGATGTAGAAGCAGTATCTGTCATGCATAGACTGAATATTTACGAACAAAGAACTCCTAATTGACAAATTTTTAGTCTTGGCTGTCACAGTAAAAATGATCACTCTCAATATTATCAATATAGCTGACTTAAAACATCCCATTAACAACTGGTGTTGGAATTCCAAACGTTTGGAAATGTCAGATGTATGGGACAACTTAAAGCAGGTAGGTTAAAAATTTCACCATCAACTTGATGTGTACGCTCACTGTGTAAATGTACACTATATATTGAACTGAAAGTCACAGAACAAATCTACCTATGACTCACATAAGATATTCATAGGTACAGGCATCCAATTCTGTGTCGTCCGACACTAAATTAACTTTAAGATAAATTGTTTTGTGAAATCGATATAAATCGACCACACACTTTTGTTCTTAAGACACATCGTCGTTACTAAGAGTTGCAGCTAAGATATTTGAGTCATATGTTAACGTGGTTTTTTAGCACTGTAACTGGGTAGATTACTTGAAAATCTGTCCCATATGTCTCATTTGAAAGTGCGATTGTTTCCTGAACTCTTACCGTGGTAGAACCTGGTAAGTGAACATAGTCCGCTTACCAGTATTCTTCATCCAACTCTGTCCTGAACAATCCTTCCCAGGTGTCTCCAGTTACTATCCATAATTTTTCATATCTGCCTACGATTCTCGACACAATGTGTTTTTCAGCCTTCCACTTTTCCGTTTCCCTTCAGGATTCCAAGTTAGCACTTGCCATTTGATGCAGTTTGGTGATTTCCACAATGTATGTTGTTTAACTGTAGGAATGCCTCTATTGATTTACCAATCCTCACCTTTACGTCTACATCAGACTCTTCTTGTTCATCAACGATGCTGCTGAACAGGTACGTGAAACTTTCCATCACTTTCAGAGTTTCTACATCAAACGTGATTGGGATGGTGGTCTCTGTGTCGCATTTGAGGATCATACTTTTTCGCTGGTGTATGTTGAAGTCTACCGCTTCAGAGACTGCTACATTGTTTGTCTTCAGCTGCAATATTTTGTGCGTCTTGGAAAAAGTGATAGACTGTCTGAGAAGACCAGATGGTTTAGTTGCATCCAACCTGCCAACCGTATTCCGTGCTTCCCCTCAGATGTCAGTTTTCATGATCCAGTCAACCACTAGAAGAGTGACAGTAAGCAGCTTTGTCTGACTCCGCTCCTCACTTTGAATGAGTCTGTCAGCTGTCCTCTATGCACGACTCTGCAGCGTGGTCCGTAGCATGAATTCTGTATGGTGTTGACGATCTTCTCAGCTACTCACATCACAACGTCTAAGAAGGTTCCGTAAGGTTCTCCTGTCCACGCTGTCAAATGCCTCCTCATAGTCGAGGAAGTTGAAGTATAGTGACGAATTCCACTCCAATGATTATTCAACGATGGTCCATAGTGTCGCGCTTCGGTCTGTGCACGACCGATTCTTACGGAATCCGGTCTATTCATGTCGAAGCTGGCTGTCTACTGAACCTTTCATCCAGCTCAGTGACACTCCGTTGAAAACGTTTCCTTCTACCGATGATAGTGTAATGCTTTTTTAGTTTTCACGTTTGGTCATATTTCCTTTCTTTCGCATCTCGATGAAGTATCTTTCTTTCCAGTCTGTCGGTAGCACTTGTCCTTCCTAACAAGTCTTCCTGAATAGAACGTGCGACACGTTCACAGTTGCTTCCATGTGTGACTCCCGTGCTTCGACTTGCATATTGTCAGGTCCCGCTGCTCCTCCATTCTTGATTTTTCTGATGGCCATTCTGATTTGCTCGATCGTTGGTGGAGTGACATCTATAGGGACATCCGTAGGTGCTGCTTTGACGTCCGGCGGTTTCATTGAAGCTGGCCTATTCAACAGTTCCTCGAAGTGTTTCACCCATCTGTTCCTCTGTTCTCGAATCTCCGTGATTGTCTTACCTTCTTTGTCCTTGTCCGGTCTCTCTGGTTTACTATATCTCGCTGCTAAATCCTTCGTTGTATCGTATAATTGTTCCATATTGCATTCTCTTACGGCTTTTTCTGATGTCGTCGCTAATTCTTCTATGTATTTCTACTTGTCAACTCTAATACCCTTCTTCAATTGTTTGTTTGCTTCTGTGTATTCAGTTTGTGCACTGTCTCTCTCTGTTCTTGTTCTTCTTCCTTTCTCAAATCTTGTCTAGTATTTCCATAGAGATCCCTGCTTCATGATGATGCTACTTGCGGCCCGTAACCTCTCGACACGTTGAAGTTGGTGTTTCTTTGATACGTTTTCGGTTGCCCTCCATAGTATTTTCCGTCTTCTTCAGTAGCTCTTGTAAGGCTTGGAACCTGTTGTTGATAACTATCATGAATTGGTTGAGTTTGTCAGTATGTCGAAACAAGTCTGTATCGAAACATTGTAATGCTATTTATCCAGTTGTACAATGTTTCTTTAGCTTCAGTTTCATGTTGGCAACTGTACTGGCAGTGGGCCATAACCACACAATCCTCGAAGCTGAACACGAGACAACTGGGAAAAAAGACGTTCAACATTTTTACGCGAAGTAAAACCCGACGATGGAGAAGGCGGGAAGAATGAATAAAGTGATTTCGAATGTATCGGATGGCATAGCTCGACCTTGCAGGCGCGGTTACTCTTAAGTGTTGCAGCATAATCTTTTATTCATATCGAGTATATTATGCTATCTGTAGCCCAAGTTTCTTCTCCACTATTTATTCGTAATTCTTACGGTTCGATGAGTCAGTGTAGACAATGATGTGACTTCCATGTAAGATCTTATAGATTAGGCAGTTATATCATGACAAATCCGCAATTTTAGGATTATGTCTTATATTAGAGCAGTACTAATATCATAGTAGACCATAATTCTACATAACCACCATTTGGTGATAATCTGAAACTATGTTGGTTCTTCTCCTGGTTCTCACATCTTCCATTCTCATTCTGATATTTTTTGATACAACTATGATCTATCTGGTTCCGACTAGTGTGATCCAGTGACATCCATGTAGCTATGTGTATGCGTTTGTGTGGGAATATTTTGCCACCTGCAACCAATTTGTTGAATACACATAGATCTGCGAATCCCTCGCCATTCTCGTTCCTTTCTCCCAATCCATGTCGTCGCACCATATCTTCATAACCGTCGTCACCGATACCGACTTTGGCTTTTAGGTCTCCCATTAGGATGGTGAGATCTGTTCGTGGCCATTTCGCTATGATTGGTTGCAGCTTCTCGTAGAAGTGATCTTCATTGTTCTCATTGCTATCATTGGTGGTTGCATAACATTGGAAAACATTCATTGTTATTTCCCCCTACTTTGTTCTGTAGGATGCTTTGATGATCCTGAATCCATGAGATTCACATCTCATAAGTACATTTCGTGCTTCTTTGGACAGCATCAGAGCAACTTTCTGATTGTGGGGCACTTTCCTCTTCATGGCCGGAGTACAGCAGCATCTTTACCGTACCTAACCTTTGCTGTACAGCTTCAGTCTAATGCGTGTCACTGATTACGAGAACTGCCAAGTTATATCTCCTCATTTTTAGTTGCTACGTGACTGGTCCTCCAACATTATCTGGATGTTCCGTGTCTTAGACAATATTCTGATTTGATTTGACTAGAGGTTACTGCAAAATCCTATGTGAATATTTTTGTTATGGTATGTGATATCGCCTCCATATACACAAGTTTCTAATTACTTTTCCTCATACCTTCATCTGTACATTCTATTAAGTTATTGATTCTGGTCAAGGCGGTCTTGAAGCCGCGAATAAATCCATAAAATAAGTCGTTCCTTTCTCATGAACAATCGTGTTAACCTGGACTTATCCTAGTTGAAGGCGTTCAATCACTCGACATCGCTACATCACAAGTAATAGGTACCCCTCACAACTGTCTGCCAGCTTACATGACACACTTCTTGACATTTCGCATAATTTCCAAATACATGATTGAAATCTTTCAGTTCTGAATACTGGTCTGACTGGTTTTAGATTTTTAGATTGTAAAAATTTTGCGGAAAAAAGACTTTCTAAATCCACAATATCCGTGACATCTTTAACAGCAAGCATCGAAGTCGTCAAAACAGTCTTTTTGACAGGGATTTTTTAAATTATTTCGGATACCTTATCGTAGTAATTTAAGTGATAATATCATTACTTTGGAATTATTTACTGGTCCAATGATGTTGTTAAGGAAACTAAACATTGCATTTCATAAGGAATAGCTTTCCTTAAAAAAATTGACAAATGTCTTGTTTTTTCCAGAGCTTTAACTTAAAATACCTAACTATTTCTCAATGCTTACCTTGTATTTAAGAACCAACTGTTTTCCTTAGTGTCAAAAAATAACTAACTGTTTGATGTTGTGGAGGTTGTTGATTGTCGTTGGATGCCGGCTCAGTGGTTTAGAGGTTGAGCGCCGGACCGAAAAACCTGGATTCTGATCCTGAAAGATAATTGATCCTCACTACATATGATCCGCATACCGGGACGAAACAGCCACCTAGTATTTCCAGGTTTTTAGTGGTGGTTTACCATTGTTCTGATCATGATTTCGATGAAATAAGATAAATATTTATTCATGTCAAATATGTACAGATGTCACAGGTGTCAGGAGTTTGACATTACATTTACGCATAACGACCCAGTCAAGTCAGGAATCAGAAATGAAGGGGTTTGAAGATATATTTGGAGAACTACGAATCTGTCGAGAATCGTTTGATCTAAGCTTGCTAGTAGTTGCAAACGATGAGTAGAACAGCGTATCCACTACTGGTCTGGTGTAGATACGCCACTGAGCGCCTTTAGCTAGGATATGTCCAGTAAAGTTAATGAGGTCAACATCAATGTCGAAAACTCACGGAACTTTATTTTAGGGACCTAATTACAGCTACTTATACAACACAATTTGTCTCAGGCTGCATGCTGATTTTTAATATGGCATGATATGGGACCACATAGACTGTAGTTGTTATCTAAGTTTTCGAACCAGGTTCCGAGCAGCAGTAACTCAATTGCTAAGCATTTCTAGAGCTCGGTTTTTCCACGGCCTTTCGAACTTTCACTGTAACTTGATCGCACCTATAACCACTGGCTTGGGAGAGTAGTAACGGTTCATCAAATGAATGTACTAAATAGGCTCTTCTGTAGTGGAAAAACTAAGATGTTGAAGTAGGTAGTAGTAACTGGTAACCGTCTCTAGGTCTAAGGACTGGCAGTAGAAACAATCTGGAAGGGTCCTTAAGAGATCATTTGATCCCAAGAGACTTCAATCTTTTTAAAGACATCTGGTTTTTCAAGCTCAATGAAGATCTGGGATTATTCGAAAATGCGAAGTCGGCAACTCGTTGCATTTACAAACAAAGACTTCCCAGTTGACAACCTTCCACTTCTGGCCCCATTAGAAAAAGCGATCACGCCGTCATTACCTTTAGTTTTACCGGCAAAACTGAGCTAGTAGATTCTACCGACAACGAGCGCTAGAATTTCAGACGGTTGGATGTGTCAGCTTGACAGGACAATCTACAGCAGGTGCACTGAGACGTTCATTCTCAACTTGATGAGGACCATCATTAGGATTTTTTACTGTACACTATCTTTTATGCTACAAAGCAGTCTGTTCCACCAACGGACCCTAAAATTCACAAGCAACCTACAGTCAACAAGAATCTCACTCTTCGTTTGTGAAGCCGCAAAATGCACTGTTAAATGGAGTACAGAAGATCTGGTAACAAGGGCTCATGCAGGCAGTACAAACATATAACAAACATATGTACAAATGCGATGAGAGAAGACTGGCTTCAGTACCAGATAAAGCTTATCGATAAATTTGTTTACAATCCGAAAAGCTTATTCCGTTATGCAGATTCTTCTCGACAAGTCAAAACTGGATTCTCTCAACTGCTAGGTCCTAGAGACCCGAACAACAACGACGTTGACATCGCAAATCTCCTGGCTGAACAATGCTCTCGGACATTCCAACAGATCCACAGTAACTTTATTGATTAAAGCTTCATCTGCAACTGTATAGGGCTTACCGAAGTGAACTTGAGCGCCGACTTAGTATACCGGAAACTGCAGCACCTAAAAAAGACACTTCTCCTACTCCGGATATGGTCCATTATGCTATACTGAGGGAAGCAGCTTCAATCCTGGCAACACCGCTTAAAATGCTGTACTCAAGCTCACTAAGCCGAACCAGGGAACCAGAAAATTGGAAGCTGGCTCACATCACACTAATTTTCAAAGGAGGTCGACGCAGCGAACCTTCAAGTTTTTGACCGGTAGCACCTCTCTCTGTGACCTTAAAAATTACAGAGTCTCTGATATGCGGCGCTATCAACAACTACTTACTATCCACAAATTTCTTTTTACCCTAACAGCACAGTTTTAGAAAAGATAGCTCTTGTATAACCAACCTGCTTACTGCGGTGTATATATGGACAACCATCCTTGATCGCAAGGGGAAGGCTGATGACATATACCTTGACTTCTCAATAGGATCAACCATATTTGTCATTGCATATTTGAAAATTCGACGTTTTAAGGTCAGGGTTAACTTCACTCTATCTCAGGCTATGGAATGTCCTAGTGGGGTCTCCCCGGGTTTGGTAGTGAAACCCCTTATTTTCTTGATTTATATAAATGTTCTTCCACAACTGGTATCGTCAGACGTATTACTTTTTGCTGATGACGTGAAACGTTGAAGAGAGATACGCAACAATAAGGATAAACTGGCACTTCGGTAAGATCTGACACGACTTCAAAGTTGGGCAGACGATAACGGACTTACCCTTACCACTTTCAAGTGTAAAGTATTTCATCTGTGACATGTTGAAGACCACAACTACAACTTCGGTAGCACCTCTCTAGAGATATCTCAAGTTGAAAAAGATCTAGGAGTGCTTGTACCCTACGTTTACTACGACAAAAAATGCCATCCGAGCAAACCTTGCACTGGTAACATTGAAGCGCATTTTTGGCCAGTTTGACGAAAAAGCTTTCCACATAATCCTCAACAGTTTTATTCATCCCCATTTAGAGTACGGAATCATAGTATTATCTCCCGCATTTCAAAAGGATAAGGACACTCTTGAACGTATCCAACGATGAGCCACGAAATCATTTCGGGACTCAAATGCAAGCCTTATGAAGAGTGACTCCAATCACTGAGCATTTACCCGTTAGGGTACAGGCGTCTTAAATGTGGCCTTTTAATGCCTTACAGCATCCTAATTGTAAGATCCATTTTGAATGCCTTGTGTGTTTGTGAAAATCCCTCCATGTATATACTGGCACTTTGTCCTATTGATCCTCTTAGTTGTACATTGTTAACTTTTTGACTACATTTGAATCGCTAATATTTGTATTTATTATAGTTTTCGTTTTTACTACACCTTCACTAATCCCCCGTGTTTCTCTCCGAACTGTACTTATGTTGTTTTACTTTATACTAAGTCTGGGCGGCAGCCATTTTGGTTTGTCCCTGCTTTTGATTGCTTGTCCTGTGTTGACTGGAATTGTGCATTCTGGTTGTGAATTGAAGCACTTTTCCAGAATTGAAAACACTCTGTGTTATAGAGCGACCAATTATTAACTTTTGAACGAATCTGTACGTGATCTATCCAGACAGGATAGAATACCAGTTATTCGTGGTGACTGGTAATTTTCTTCCATCCTGTATCAACTTTCTTATTTATTGTAGTTTAGATATGCTCAATTGAACAATTATTGGTTGGATAGCTGAGTGGTTATATTTGCTTAGGTAATAATGTGCACTTAAATTTATGATAAATTATAGAACCGTCATCTTACCCAATTACTTTGCTTTGGTTTCAATCGGGCGAGGGCGCGTATCTAACTCATCCAGACAGCTGTCCTTCACTCCAAACCGTAGTTTGGATCTTACACTAATTACGTCTGTACATCCCCATAAACACCTACATAAGCTTAGTATCAACACAAACCATAGGAGTAATGCCCAGAAGCTGGAGGCTCAACACAACAGTACGGACTGCACACATGCCTTCTACTCCTTGAGATGAGTCAAATGCTATAATTCGCTGCGGGCCGAGCTAGTCTATGAGACTTCGAGGGAGTTCTTTGAGAGACAACTCGACATACTCTTAAGGACTAAGGACAGTATCTTACTAAATTTACCGTTTTTTCTTTTCCATCTTTTTTGAAATAATACTGCTACCTTGCTGCTTAGAGATATCGGTGATTCACTGCTACTAGATGCGAAAGCTCGTTAAGCGAAAGCTTCTACTATTCCGTCCAAAGCCATATGCCCTTTGACAGTCACACGGCTCACTCGGGGAAAGGAATCTAAGCATCAAAATCACCCGAGGCTACTTCGTGTAACACTTTAGAACGCTACCGACGTAGAGGATGTCTTACTAGCGGGTCATTTACTGAAATCAGATGGGAATGTAAGAATACTGCCTGACATACCGTATTCTGAGCGCAATCTCATCCGGAACATCTCCAAAGAAATTCGCTATCAGTTTTTCCGCGGGAGGAATATAATCTTGCAAGGTATACCGGAAAATACGGACCCTACTCAAACAAAGACTGACATCAGGGAATGGAAATTCATCAAACAGTCCTTGAGGCTCAAAAACATATTGACTCAGCGTGTGACGAGACTAGCCAAGAAGGATGGTGATTCTAGACCCCGTCTAATGAAGATAACCTTCCCATCTTCCCACATGGCGGCTGCAACTCTGGAAGCATTTCGTGCCAACAGACGTCGACTGCCACCTGGAATCCACATGCACCCGGATAGGCCATACGAAGCTAGGACCAAACACAAATTCAAGTTGGAGCTAACCATTCCACTTGTGGACTGTCTAGACGATAAAAGACGTGTAAAGAACAGGGCCTACCAACTCGGCAAACCTCATATAGGTGGGCTACCTGTTCATTCACGTAAGGTTCATCCAGACAAACAGGAAGAAGCTCACGCGTGGGGTCCCTCAGGGCTCAGTACTAGGACATATTCTCTTCTTGATTCACATAAATGATCTTCCTCAACAGTTAACGTCAGACTTATTACTTTTTGCCGACGACGTGGAACCGTGGAGAGAGATACGCAACCAGGACTATATACAGGCACTTCAGGAGGATCTGACTCGAATTCAAAGTTGGGCAGACGATAACGAACTTACCTTTAACACTTCAAAGCGTGAAGAAGTCCATCTGCGACATGTCGCAGACTACAGTGATAACCTAAGGAACTCCTCCCTAGTAGTATCCCAAGTCGAAAAATATTTAGGAGTCCTGGTCCCTTACGATTTAAAGTCTTACGCTAACTGTCACAAAAATGCCTTCCGAGCAAACCTTGCACTGGTAACATTGAAGCGCATTTTTGGCGAGTTTGACGGAAGAACTTTCCTCATAATCTTCAATAGTTTTATCCGTCCCCATTTAGAGTACGGAAACATAGTATTTCCTCCCTCACCCCAAAAGGATAAGGACACCCTTGAGCGTATCCAACGGCGAGCCACGAAATCACTTCTGGGACTTAAATTCAAACCTTATGAAGAGCGCCTCCAATCACTTATCCTTTACCCATTAGAGTATAGACGTCTTAGAAGTGACCTTCTGATGGCTTATAGTATCCTTAACACTCCTGGACATCCTCTCAAACACCTACTTAAGCTTAGTTCCAACACTAACCAAAGAGGTAACACCCAAAAACTGGAGACACAACATAGCAGAACGGACTGTAGACACAACTTCTACTCCTTAAGAGTTGTCAAATGCTGGAATTCGCTGCCGGCCGAGCAAGTCCAAGCGACTTCCCAGGAGTCCTTTAAGAGGCAACTTGATCTATTCTTAAGGATTAAGGATAGTATCACACTATGATTTACTAATTTCTTTTCCTCTTTTATTGGTATTATACCTAGGTTCCTGCCTGGAAGATTTGGTGATCCCGTGCTACTAGACACGGAAGCCTGTTAAGCGAAAGCTTCTTCTATTCCGTCCACAACCATTTGAACAATTTGAAACGCAACGCTACGGGGTAGTTTTTGGTTCGAGTGATGGCCACTGCATTTGAAACTGGTAGGACTGTGTATTCGTTTTATTTGATAATAACAGGATAGAAGTACTCATAAATATGACCTAATGGCAAATTTGTTGCTGATTCGTAGTACTATTCATTCCATATTGCTATATAGTAATACATGTAACAAACCCATTAGTGTTTATATTTTATTAGCATGCTGTTTGAAGCTGTTACAAACTCTGTCGTTTAAGGAGAGCGTGATACTTTTCAAGTAAGAATTTTAGCATTCGAATGCTAAAATCTGGATAACTTCTTACAGGATTATTATCGTGTGAGAAATTATCCAGTTCATCTAATAATTGCCTCCAACCCCGATAACACTTAAGTTAGTAGCCAGTTGTAAGGAACGTTGTCAAAAGCCGAAAGTCTTGGCGATTACTTTAACTGAAATAAGTTCAGTCAGCGAAAATAACTCTTGATGAGTCTATTTGTTTGTATTTATTTATTTGGACACAAATATTGGTACAAGGGAGCACCTAATATATATGCGCCACACATGGTTTCAGAAAAACTGCCTCAGTATTCGTATTTGATGGTAGCATCCACTTTTCAATCAGTCAGTGACTCGAGAACGGTTAGATAGAACCGAGTTTCCACCATAGGCGAGCTTCTGTTTAAGTCAAAAAATAAGGATACATAAAGTGGGAACAAAAGAGAGTGAATAAATGACATAGTAAATAATGATGATAATAATATTAATAATAGTGTGAATCGTTTGACTGTTGATTGAAGCAAATATATTTTCCGTAAGTATCGTCATTTCACTCCGTTTGTGTGTCGGCTGTGATACTGCCCGAGTTCCCAGACCGAAGCATGTGGTTTTCTTAGGGGGCCACACCCCGAGCCTTTAATCTAAAGGTCTAACCCACAAGGCAATGGAGCATCGTGAGGAGATGCAGTCCCATAGTAACCAGCAGCCAATAATTGGTTCATACGCCATTTGTTCCCTCAGGATAATGTAGCCCATGTGCACCATTGATTTGGGATCCGGTTGAAGCGCCGGACATTCGCTTTTCGTCCTCTCATTTTCTTAAACACCACAAGAATGCAGTGAGTAGGACTTCTCTGGCAGAGGCTGTATGCGCGTGGCCGTGTGAAAGCATTTCGAGAGGAAGGACGTGCCCACCCCACTCTCGACCATACCAGGTCGTCTGGGGGCATTTGATGGGTAATAAACAATCGAAACCAGAGGTTTAACTCAGCGAGGGAAATTAGCAGTGTCCCTTCGAATAGCGTGCTCCAAATCCATAAAAAGACATTTCAAATATTTATAGCATCCAAGGATTTCTACAAATATTTAGGTACTCAGAAAAATCACTGGTCACTAGTTTTCCATCAAAGTTTGCAATCTGACATTTAGATTATTATCTTTCGGTTGAAAATTTTACTTTGTTTTGGTAAGATCTACTGAATAACTAGTGTACAAAGCATGATAAGCCTTCTAATGACTATGGTAGAATTCAGCTGAAAACTCGATGTTATATTCGGCGGAATACGTGGGTTTCACTTCAACAGGTTAAATATGTCTAGTGATTGTGATTTGTAATCATACACTCTATTTTCCTGTAATTACGTTTTTTGGCTCATTGTGGGTTGGAATAATCCTCGCTTATCTATATCTGTGAACTTGTCCAAGCTCCTCACACAAATAAAAACATGGAAGTCTTGACTTTACAGCACTCGTGGAATCGCTATCTTTAATAATATGACTTTTAATCATATCATGGAAGTTGGAAGTTTTACTACTCTATGGGTGCCCCAAATAATTTGGACCTAACCCCTTGTTTCAAATCTATTGCATACACCATAACGTATCAGAGAGGTTTTGTGGCTATCAACTAGAATCCGAATAATTTTAACCACTCGACAAAAAATTAAATCTGTCATCTTACAAACTGGTTCCCATATTTCCCTTCTTAAACAGAAGCACCCATGACTTTGAGATGCTACATTATTATGCCTTAAGAATGTTATGCTTATTATAGGAAGTCGTAAGTAGTCATAATAGGCGGAAATAACTATCAGCTTGTCGATCACATGAAGCTCTGGCGTCACAGCTGGGTGTTCTATCATAAAATCAAACATTTTCGTATATAATCCAATAAGAAAAATGATACTTTCTAGGGAATGTTTTGGTTTTTTAATGTACCGAATATGGAATAAAATGTTCCGTACTTTTTAATTGTTTGCTAGAAATGGGTGTATTACCCGAACTATCTAAGGCTGTACAAGAAATGGACTGGATTTTGCCTACCGACATTCAAAGTGAGGCTGTTCCCTTAATCCTTGGTGGAGGTGATGTTTTGATGGCTGCTGAAACCGGAAGTGGAAAAACAGGAGCATTTTGTTTACCTGTGCTTCAAATTGTATATGAAACACTTAAACTTCTCCAATCTAATAAACAGGTATGATTTAATTAAGGTCTCACTCCTCATTAGAACAAAGCTAATATCTTATCAAAGCATTCAAGCGGCCAGATGAAACTCAATGTATATGATCGTACTGATGCTATGGCAATTGATACCAATGGGTTGCTTTGTCAAAGTCGCGATCCAGGTGGATGGCACGGAGCTAGGGCAAATCGTGGTGTAAAATGTTCAGGTATTGAATGGTGTGCTTTTATAGTTACTACAGTGTTTAGTATTCAAGGTATTTAGTTTCAGTAAATAACCAGTTGTCCGTTCATATTTCGGAAATAGAAACCCGAATTCCTTTTCAGGTACCTCCGGAAGAACCTTTCCACGGTATGGGCAACCGGAAAGTGATACCCACCCTCATACCTCTAACAGCACTAAAGATCACTGTATTCATGATCAATCTCTTCCTTCAATTCCTATTATTCTTCCTACTTCGACTTTCGATTCTAAACTTCCTCTTTTGACATCCTTCTCAAGTGTTACCACGGCCAGCGATTCTGGTGCGCGAAACACTGTCGCAGGTCTACTAGAACGGAAACACGCATACAGGATCCTAGTGTAGTCATTCACTCGAACTCACCTAATCAAAGCGGGAAGCCGACGTGACACGCCCTCCGTTTATCTGGCGACCCGATATCTAGTTCTTGCGAATTGGCTGGTGTAGCCATAGCACTGAGTACGAGGGCAGAACAAGCACTATTAGAACAGACCCTTTTAATAGTCGCCTATTTGCTGTTCGGCTAAACGGCTACGTAAGAACTCAGAAGGATAAGGACACATATCTTTCCACAGTTTCTACCTACGCTCCCACTGACTGCAGCCCGGATAAAGTGAAAGATGACTTTTACAGAAAGCTTTCTGAACTTCAAAAAGCTAAACACTCAGACATAGTACTCGTAGCAGGTGACTTTAATGCCTAGATAGGTAGTTTAAACCAAACAGAAAGGCATTTAGGTGGGTATTTTAGTATTCCGGCACAACGAACAGATAATGGTTACCGTCTGCTGCAACTGTGCTCAGACAATCGTTTATTTTTTTTAGCAAACACAAATTTTAAGCATAAGGAGAGACATCGTCTAACATGGTGACCGCCTGCACCAAACCAAGGATGGACTCAAACAGACGATGTTGCCATCAGTCATCGTTGGAGAGGGTCGATAGAAGACTGCCTCTCATTCTCCCGACCGTTGTTGCTACCTTGACGTGGTGGTCGGGCTTGCCCATCGTGATGAAGCAACCGACCTATACTGGCTGGAACAACCGTTCCTCAATGTCCTACCATGTCAGACAGGTCGGTTGAAGAGCGGTAAGACTAAAAGCAACAAACCCAAGGTCCGAAGGCGAAGTCGTACTGCTGACTGTACAGAGGTGTGACAGCAGTAAGGTGTTTCCTTCAGACAACCAGCATGACAGCGATGCTGCCGTCTCACAAGGAGGGGTAGGGTTAGAAAAGGTCGACCCTAAAAATGCGCAACTCACCTTACCTCACGGATTTCCGTCTCCGGCGGTAAGGCCCTTTGAAGAACGGAGCTAACACGTCAAAAACCTCCCACGAAAAGGCCGTGCGCGACCGGCCTCAAGCAGTTGTCCCTTGGGCACTGCGGTCACGCTCTCAGGTCAATGAGACCACTTCTAATCCAATTTCCTTTTCAGGTACCTCCAGAAGAACCCTTCCACGGTGTGGGCAACCGGGAAGTGATAACCGCCCTCATACCTCTAACAGCACCCAAGACCACTGTATTCATAATCAACCTTCCTCTTCAATTCCTATTATTCCTCCTACATCGACTTTCAACCCTAAACTTCCTCCTTCGGCTTCCTCCTCAAGTGTCACCATAGCCAACGATTCTAGTGCTCAAAACACTGTCCCAGGTCTACTGAAACCTCGCTCCAAACTACACATTGGAGCCTTCAACGTACGCACTCTATATCAAATCGGTCAGCAGGCTTCCTTGACTAAAACCCTAGAGTCCCTTTCCACTGATGTATGCTGTGTCTCCGAAACACGCATACAGGATTCCAGTGTGGTCATTCACTTGACCTCACCTCGGCAAAACGGAGAGCCAACGAGATACACCCTACGTGTATTTGGTGACCCGATGGCCAGTTCTCGTGGACTGGCAGGTGTAGGCATAGCACTAAGCATGAGGGCGGAACAAGCACTGCTAGAGTGAATACCCGTCAACAGTCGTCTATGTACTGTTCGGCTAAACGGCTCCGTAAGAACTCGGAAGGATAGGGACACACGTCGTTGCCTTTTCGTCGTTTTTGCCTACGCTCCCACTGACTGCAGCTCAGATGATGTGAAAGATGAATTTTACAGAAAGCTGTCCGAACTTCTTCAGAAAGCTAAACGCTCAGACATAGTACTCGTAGCAGGTGACTTTAATGCTCAGATAGGTAATTTAAACCAAACAGAAAGGCATTTAGGTGGATATTTTAGCATTCCGGCACAGCGAACAGATAATGGTTACCGTCTGCTGCAACTGTGCTCAGACAATCGTTTATTTTTTTTAGCAAACACAAATTTTAAGCATAAGGAGAGACATCGTTTAACGTGGCGACCGCCTGCACCAAACCAACGATGGACTCAAATAGACCATATTGCCATCAGTCATCGTTGGAGAGGGTCGGTAGAAGATTGTCGCTCATCCTAAAGTACCTACTTGGACTCCGACCACGCCCTAATACGAGCACGCATCCGCTTGCGCCTCACTGGACGCATAAAAGCCTCAGTAAAAAGACCCATTAGAACTGAATTGAGTAGCGAGGAAACCAAAAGTAGGTTCCATGAACAACTGAGGTCACAATTAGGTAGTTCTGAAAACGAGGTTGACCCAGATGTTGCTTGGAAAGCTGTACAAACAGCTATGGAAACAGCAGTGAAATCTATCAATGATTTAAACCACAGGGTTACAAAGAACCAATGGATTTCCTCAAGGTCTATTGCACTGATGGATTCTCGTAAACATCCCATCAGGTCTGAACACGATGAAGAGCGACAACAAATCAGATGTAGGTCAGACTATTTCGAAGAAAGACGACACCCTCATCTGCTCCCAGTCCAGACGTTTAGAACGATGGGCGGAACATTTCAGAGAACAGTTCAACTGGCCTTCGGCTACTCTACAACTACCCTCCATTCCCAGACAGCGTGAATGGAACATTGAAGTAGGTCCCCCAACTCTTGCTGAAGTCCAAAAGGCTAAAGTTGGTCTGAAACGAGGAAGGGCAGCTGGTCCAGATGGACTGGCTCCAGAGGTCTTTAATGATGGTGGTCCAATTTTAGCGGTTAGGTTGACTAATATTTTAGCTAAGATCTGGTAGTTAGACGTTATTCCTTCTGACAGGTCACAATCACTTATCGTCCCAATATATAAGAGAGGGTTAAAATCATCCTGTGACAATCATAGAAGGATTAGTTTAACTAATATAGTATCTAAAATACTAGCCTCGATAATTAACAGACGCTTAACTAAGACTCGTGAACTGCAAACACGAGAGAACCAAGCTGGCTTTAGACCTGGTCGTGGCTGCATCGACCACATATTCACCATTCGTCAGGTTCTAGAACATAGGCATACTTACCGGCGTCCGACAATGGTGGTCTTTCCTGACATAAAAGCAGCATTTGACTCGATAGACCGCGAGATTCTGTGGCAGTGTCTGTCATTGAAAGGCGTACCTCAGAGGTACATAAACCTTGTGAAGGCTCTTTACTCGAACACTACTAGTCGAGTCAGAGCTTATGGCGAACTATCATCTACTTTTGCAACCTCAAGTGGTGTCCGTCAAGGCTGTCCACTTTCCCCATTTTTGTTTAACTTCATCATAGATGGAAATAACTTTCTCGTCGACTGAGTTCTCGGGTATTGATCTCTTTCCAGGAGGTCCACTTATCGACTTAGAATACGCAGATGACATAGTCCTGTTTGGTGAAGACGCTGACAAAATGCAGTCTTCTGGTAGCACTAAGCAACAATGCCAGGATGTTTGGAATGCGCTTCTCTCCCTCTAAATGCAAGTTGTTGCTTCAGGACTGGTCTGCGTTAACACCTGAACTAAGGATAGGGAGTGAACTAGTCGAACGTATGGACAACTTCACTTATCTTGGAAGTCTGATCAGCCCTAATGGGTTGGTGTCAGACGAAATCTCAGCACGGATTCGAAAAGCTCGCTTGGCTTTTGCCAACTTACGTCACCTATGGCGAAGGTGAGATATCCGTCTATCAATAAAAGGACGAGTATACTGCGCGGCAGTCCGTTCTGTTTTAATTTACGGCAGCGAAACATGGCCATTAAGAGTAGAAGACACTCGTAAGCTATTAGTATTTGACCACAGATGCCTTAGAAATATTGCTGGCATCTGCTAGGATCACCGGGTAAGTAATAGTGAGGTTAGACGCAGGTTATTAGGGAATGATGGTAAATCAGTTGATGAGGTTATGAATCTTAATCGACTGAGATGGTTGGGCCACGTGTTACGTATGTCCGAACACTAATTACCACAACGCGCAATGCTACCTGGTGTTGGGGATGGTTGGAAGAAAGTTAGGGGCGGTCAAACCAAAACGTGGCATCAGTGCTTGAAGTCACTAACTTCTAGTCTTAGCCATGTTGGTAGATGCAGACTACTTGGTTGGGGTCCGCGTGACTTTCGTAACCAATGGTTGGAGACTCTTGGTGACATGGCTCAGAATCGATCACAATGGCGTCGGTGTATGCACTCCCTGTCTTCCCTTAAACTAAGAGATTGAAATCACTTCATATCTTTCTTTCTACGAACCAATTCTTTCTTCTTGTACTATATCTCTATATGCAATCTCTTACATATTACTACCTTTGACCTAACCACTGCTATGAATCCGGTGTTCATCTTGTTGTGCTGATGCGGTATGGCAACCTGGACCGATGCACATATGTGCCTGGTCCTACGTTGTAGCTGACTGACTGACTGCCTCTCATTCTAAAGCACATATTTAGACTCTGATCATGCTCTAATACGAGCACGCATTTGCTTGCTCCTCAGTGGATGCGGAAAAACCACATTAAAAAGACCCATTAGAATTGAATTGAGTGACGAGAAAGCCAAAAGTATATTCCAGGAACAACTGAGGTCACACTTAGGCAGTTCTAAAGACGAGGCTGATCCAGGTATTGCTTGAAAAGATAGACAAACAGCTATGGAAACAGCAGCGACATCTATTAGTGATTTGAACCAAAGGGTCACAAAAAACGAATGGATTCCTAATAAGTCTATTGTACTAAAAGATTCTTGTAAACCCATCCCACCTGGCTCCAAGCACGATAAAGAGCAAAAACAAATCAGATCTAGGTTAATCAAAAGTCTAACGAACGATCGTGAGCAGTGCTGGGCAACAAAAGAAAAAGAGATGGTAGTGGTTGTAGGTGACACTAAACGGCTTTTCAGATTAACAAAAACTGGAATTGAGAAATCAAGTATGAAATCTCGGAAAAAGACAACACTTATATGCTCTCTGCCCAGATATTTATAACGATGAGCGAAACCCTTTAAGGAGTAGTTCAACTGGTTTTCAGCTACTTTACAACTACTAACCATTCTTAAACAGCCTGAATGAAACATTGAAGTAGGTGCCCCGACTGTAATTAAAGTTCGAAAAGCTATAGCTAATCTGAAACGAGGAAGAGCATCTGGTTCAGATGGATGGGCTCCAGAAGTCTTTAAGGATGGTGTTTCAGTTTTGGCGATTAGGTTGACCAATATTTTAGCTAAAATCTGGGAACTGAATGTAATCCCATCTTACTGGTCTCAATCATCGAGCGACCCAATATATAAGAAGGGGTCAAAACCATCCTGTGATAACCATAGAGCGATTAGTTCGACTAACATAACTTCATCAAAGACCTATTACTGGAAATAACATTCTCGTCTACTGAATTTTCGGGCATTGATCTCCTACCAGGAGGTCCACTTATCGACTTAGAATGCGCAAATAACATAATCCTGTTTTGTGAAGATGATACAATGCAAAATCTTTTGTTAGCACTGAGTAACAATGCCAGGATGTTCGGGATGCGTTTCCCCCTTCTAAATGCAAATTGTTGCTTCAGGACTGGCCTACCATAACACCTGAACTAAGAATAGGTTGTGAAGTAGTCGAACGCGTCGACAACTTTACCTATCTCGGAAGTTTGATCAGTCCTAATAGGTCGGTGTGTGACGAAATCTGTGCACTAATTCGAAAATCTCGTTTGGCTTTTGCCAACTTACGTGACCTATGGCGAAGGCGATGTATCCGTCTTTCAATTAAGGGACCAGTATACTGCTTGGCAGTTCGTTCTACTTTACAGCTGCGGATATTCGTAAGTTCCTAGTATTTGATCACAGATGTCTTAGAAAGATTGCTCGCATCCGCTCGAATCACCAGGTAAGTAATAGTGAGGTTAGACGCAGAGTATTAAAGAGTGATGTTAAATCGGTTGATGAGGTTGTGAATCTTCATAGACTGAGATTTTTGGGCCACGTGTTACGTATGCACAATGCTGAGTAGTGTTGGGTATGGTTGGAAGAAAGTTAGGGGCGGCCAAACCAAATCGTGGTATTAGTCCTTGAAGTCACTGAATTCTGGTTTTAGCCATGTTGGTAGATGCAGATTACTTGGTTGAGGTCCGCGTGAATCTTTGTTATTATTATTATTATTATTATTATTATTATTATTATTATTATTATTATTATTATTATTTAGAATAGAGTTTTCAGTAAATGCCATCATTTTCATTATATTTGTGCGTGGGCTGTGATACTGCCAAAGTTCCCAGACCGAAGCATGTGGTTTTCTTAGGGGGCCACACCCCGAGCCTTTAACCTAAAGGTCTAACCCACAAGGCAATGGAGCATCGTGAGGAGATGCAGTCCCATAGTAACCAGCAGCCAATAATTGGTTCATACGCCATTTGTTCCCTCAGGATAATGTAGCCCATGTGCACCATTGATTTGGGATCCGGTTGAAGCGCCGGACATTCGCTTTTCGTCCTCTCATTTTCTTAAACACCACAAGAATGCAGTGAGTAGGACTTCTCTGGCAGAGGCTGTATACGCGTGGCGTTGTGAAAGCATTACGAGAGGAAGGACGTGCCCACCCCACTCTCGACCATACCAGGGCATTTGGGGGCTCTCGTAACCAATGGATGGAAACTATGGGTGACATGGTTCATAATTGGTCACAAAGGCGTAGGTGTATACATTGTTTGTCTTCCCTTAAAACGTGAGATTAAGATTACTTTATACTTTCCTTCCTGTATTATATCTTTATACGCAATATCCGTTTTATATATTACTACCATTGAAGTAAGTACTATGAATTTGTTGTTCATCTTGTGCTAATGAGGTATGGCAACTTGGACCTATCCATGTATGTGCCTAGTCCTACGTTATAGCTAACGGACTGACTGAGATTGCGTCACACAGTGATCTTTTCTATCATCCTTTTTGTGCCATTCTCTGTAAATAATCATGTAAATAGAAACTTTGTTTATATATATTTCATTTCCTGTATATTATTGTCTAAAACCTCAACAAGATACAATCAAGAACTCAAGTCCGAAGTACGCAGCATGAAATTGTATTATCATATGTTTAAGCAAAGCACAAAATATTTTACTGTGCAGTAAATGTATTGTTTATTCACTACAATAATCCGATGAAACTATAATTTATGGATGAACCAGTCAAATTTAAAATAGCGAATCTTGGGTTTTGGCGCGGAATGCATTCATCCATATGGCTAAATAGTATTTTGACACCATAGGTATGCCAGTTCGTGATGAAAACAATAACTCTAATTCCTAACCCTAAATTCTAACTCTAATTCCCGATTCTGATTCCTCACACTTATAACCCGTAATATACTGGTGAATTTTCTCAGAGTCACTTTTATGTCTCTCAAAAGCCGTCGATAAATTATAGTCTCACCCATAATCTTTTCATAATTTCCTGGGTTTTTTTAATACAACCTCGAATGGCACTAGATTCCCGTAATATTATCTCATTATTCCTGATCATATTGTTCCACCAGAATTGTCATTCAAAATTTTGAAAGTTAAACAAATTAGCTCAAAGGAACGCAAATCCGGAACTTGTTGGCTAAAAATTCTTGAAGTCAGAAGTTCACTATTAAACTCTAGATTCAAAAGCATCACATGCAATCTATTCTTCCATGTTACTAGTACTCCTTCTAGTACATCTTTTTATTGATTAACCAGTTAAAAATACCCTTATAAATTGTTTAGTCGCAATTGTCAACGCGTTCTTCACCTCTTCATATCTGTATACAAGTATACAAATATTTACCTGTCACATCTCTGGTCAGCGAATTATTTTAATCTTACTAATTCAACAAGATCTAAATAATCATGACCATTTATTTAACCTCCAGATCTCAGCTCAACCTCTTTATGACACTTGAAATCCCTGCACGCTTTGTGACTAAATCCCTTTATTTTTTCAGTTTGCTAATATAAATAATTTATTTATCTAAGCATCTTACTGTATAATATTTCAACATATAAAGGTCGTTATTATTATGAGGCGCATGTAACTGATGAAGGGCTATGTCGGGTCGGCTGGTCAACTTTGAATGCATCACATGACGTTGGAACTGACGCTGAGAGTTTCGGCTTCGGTGGAACTGGTAAAATGTCTCATCGTCGACAGTTCGATTCGTATGGTGAGGCTTTTGGGAAAGGAGATACTATTGGCTGTTTCTTAGATCTTGATAATGGATCCATAAGTTGGTCAAAAAATGGTCAGTTCACTTGTTTACTATTTCATAATGTTTTTATACTCCAGTAACTATGCGGAATTATTGGAGTTTCTAGGACAGTATCTCTTGTTTCCAACTAGTCACCACACCTCGAAGTTAGTCAAATAGTTCTTCATAAGTTTAGTAAATTGCATTAAATTAGCGTCTTCCACCCATCTGAAACACTTTTGTAGGTGATTACTCAATGTACTTAACACTACGTGCTACAAATTCGGTGTCAATATACTTAACAGTCGATCTAAACTAATTGTTTCCCATTTCAATAAATACTCATTCTTCAGCATTCTACTTTACGTTTTAGGGATTGAATTACATTATTTATCTTCAACAAATAACTTAATTCAGTTACAGGAAATTACGATTTTACATAATAGATATTCAGAAATATTCTTCATAGTTTTTAACAATTTGTAGTATGTTAAATTACTAGCTCATACTTTTTATTCCTTTCGAACGAATAGGTCATTGTTATCTGTTTGAAATTAATACCTATTCCATTTCATATTCATTTGTTTTCTTTTGTAAATTTCAATAATGACATATCGTTCCTATGGAAACCTCTAACACTTCTCGTACAGTTATTTTTACTGTAAAAAGAATTGGTTGACTCTGTGAGTGTGAAGATACCTCTAAATATGCATCAAGAAAAACTTATAATTATCAATTCAATTTACTTAATATGATTATTAATCCTTAGAATACGTATACCGATAACGTTTCTGTGCAGCTTAAAATGAAGTTCAGAAAGTAATTTCATAAATTTTATATAGACTATTTCAGGTTCTTAATCATATACTTTTACCCTAGAACCGAAGTAATTCTTGTAGGTCGTGCTAACCAAGTACTATTTAAATTATTTAGTTTCCTTCAGTCATGAATCCTGATTAGCTCACAATTTTGCAATGATCATTCAATGTAAATATATTTGTAGATTAAATAAAAATCTAATATTATCAGTTACAATCTCTCAGCTTATTTTACCACTTTTTTGTATGGATTACCGTTTCTTTTTGACCAGGTAAAATGTTTGGAAAAGCGTATGACATCCCAGCTCCCTTACGTTCTAAAGGATTGTTCCCATCAGTGTGTTTAAAAAATGCTGAGTTAAGATTTAATTTCGGCGATAGTGCATTTGATTTCCCACCACCAAATGGTTGGATAGGTATTAGTTCTTGTCCAGAAACAAACTATGTTGAAAATACTTTTAAAGGCAAGTCTTTCACGGTTCATTTTTATTGTTTTTACTTACTCCATGGTTTTTCACAGGTATTTTGGTGTGAAATGAGTGGATCGAATTATTAAAACATTTAAAAATCAAAACATATCTGATACTGAGATCAAGAAGGATTTATCTAAAAGTATAATAAAATAGCTCAATCTATTATTAGTTATCATATAAAGCTTATTCGCCCTACTTTTCTGACTATGGTCCTCACCTAGAAGCTTTGGTTGCGTTTGTTAGCTGGAACATATGTTTTTTGAGGTTGCTTCATATAGATCAGGTCCCTTGGAGAACTGTAGGATCGATAATAACAAACCCAAGTTCCAAAGTAGCAGTGTCAGTAAAGTGTATTTCATAAATAAATATATGTCTTCCACATCCGAAAAATAACTCAGAAAAGGTCAGTCCTCAAACTAGTGACTATCTTCTTGTCCCCCTAACTGTAGCTCATGAAATTAGGGATGCTTTCGATAGAAGGCTTTTTGATCCCCCGTAGAAAACACTAAGCTCTTATACTCAGTAAGTTTAGCGTATGATTTAAACACTTTAGAAGGTAGATCGACGCAAGCTGAAAGGTATTTCGACCAAAACTTGCTCGTCCCTGTCCAGCTAATAGACAGTGGCGATCTCCTTTTGTAACTGTGCTGAACCAACCGCTTATTCCTTGTAAGCAATCAGCCTTAAGAATTAAAAAAGGGATAATTCATGTAGAAACTCACAACACCAACTGAACAATGAATACAAGTAGACTGTTACTATCAGCCGTCTATAAAAAGGTTCGATTAAAGAAGCTCTTATTCTGGAGCACGTGTTTTTACTTTGATTATCTTAATCTCCAACAAAGGAAGCCCATTGATTCATTAAAAAAAAGGAATGAAGACGTTTCAGAGAAAATTTTCTTCTCGATGATATCATCTACTAAAGCTGTACAATCGTATTCATGGGTAGATTTTCTAACATGTAATAGTCTATCGTAAAATAGAGGAGTGTCACAAAATCACCAAAAATAGTCAACCTTATCCAAGTATCGTCAAATTTACTCAATTTTGCTTCTTAACATCTTAGTCATTTGCCGAATAAAAGAAGCAGAACTTCTGTTTCAGCTTTCGTTGGTTTAACGTACTTTAAATCTTTGGACTTATAGTGTTAACTTAATGACCAGTTTTAACATTTACTGATAAGTAATACAAATGTACTTATTATTGAAAATATTTTTATTTTCAGCTACTTCATCTGGTTCAGTCTATAAGTCTAAACCAAATGCCCCACTTGCTTTAATTATTGAAGTAAGTTATTTTCAATGTTCTCAGAAAATTTATTTGATCTATTTTACAGCTCTTCCTCTGATCGTAATTAACTCACTGGTCCTCATTTCTGTGTGAATCAGTGGTTGAATATTTTAACTAATTAGTATATTTTATTTTCATTTCATTTCTTCTAAATGCACATCTTACTGCTTATATTAAACGGAAAATAATTTTCCCTTTGTTTTTTAATCATCTCTAGTAATGTCTTGTACCACGTTAAGAGCCGGGTTTTTTGTAATGCTATCGAGAAAATTGCAACGTACCGATAAATTCTAGCTCGAGACAACTATTTTCCATACCGTTGGGCCACACCGTGAACTGATTATCTTTTCATTTCTTCCAGCTAGTTCCAGTACCAAGAAACAGTGCTTGGTATGGAAATCGCTTAAACTTCTTGTGTCAAACATTTCAAAGTCGTTAATTTAGGGGAGCTTTACAAATTAAATAGAGATAGGAGAAACAACTTGCTTGATGAATAAATACTTCACAAGTGTCACTCTTCAGCGGATAAATCTGACGAAAAGTCGTTTGCAACAGTTTAAAAGTATCTGTCAGATAATACGACGATCATTTGTATGACATACATGTAGCATGTCTAACCATCTGACTAAGAGTGGAAACATAATTTATGCATCCATGGTCCGATTAAAATATTACATAGTCTCAGTTTCATATATGTATTTTAATCGATTTATCCATTTCTGTTATCAGAATATTGATTCCATTCATGAAAAAAATCAAAACTATATTCAAGCATATTTATCTAATCATTCCTCAATAGATCGTCACAACAGTATCATATATTACTCAGACCTGCAGTGACCACTTTTTCCAAATAAAAATTAACTCCATTAGCATTTAAGAGGCTCCTCACGTACATCAACTATTCCACCATTTTCAATCATTGATTTCTCACGCACTTTTGTGATACAATTCGTATCATATGTATCAGTGACGTATGTCATAGTAAAAGAAATCAGTTTTTCTCATACTCAAGAGTAACATCATTTTGTTGTTTGCGAATATATGGAAGCTTCACAGATTTCCCTTCACAATAATTTGTAGGATACCGTTCATAAACACGTTTGAGAAGAAATGACAAAGTTCATCAATATACATGGTTATAAAGGCTCATAATCAGAGTTTTGCTTTTCCATGTGAAATATTCCCGAATTGTTTCATCTATCCTATATATGTTTTAATACCTTTCAACAATTTTTGGATCCATTCACCGTTTAACTTTCAACTGTCCACTATATTGATCAGTTCTTTTAATCCTATTTTCCGGGTTATTGTTGATAGCAGATACAATGTTTGTCGTAAATAACCTACAGATGAAATATTTGAATTTTTTTCTCTACTGGACTTGTTTTGTAAATTACTTATGTTATAATTAAAACACGAATTTCAGCGAAGGGATCTCTTTTCAACGAATTTATTATCAAGCTGTACAATCGTATATATATGAAAATTTTGTTTTTGTAAAAGTACTAATTCCGTGAGGAAATGTGAACACAGTTAATATAAAGGTTATAATACTAGATTACGTAATATGAATAATAACAATAACAATAGATTTAGTGATTATAATAAGATGATTCAAATGTTCAAATACTTATGTTATCCCTACAGCCTTCTCGTGAACTAGCAGAACAAACTTATGAACAAATTAAAAAATTTAAACGTTATTTAAAAGATCCCTGTCCTCGTGAGTGCTTGTTAATTGGTGGTGCCAACAGTAAACAACAAATGGATGAATTACATTCTGGGGTAAGTTCTTGATCATTAAGAGTTTGTCAATGATTACCAATAAATATATGCCAAAAATTAGATCTATGTATGTAATATTAAGTTTATCCTTAGTACAAGTAAACTTTATCGAACATAATTGTACACGGGAGTTATTTTATTTTACTCAAACGTTTCCTGATAAATTTATCTCTAAACAAATCTAACTTGTACTACAACCAGAAAAATGGTTTGATAAACTAATACTGCAGTAACTCAGGTAATGAGCCTAAAAATTTACTCACGGAAACTAGCTGCAAACTTCACTGAATATATATTTAAGAATAGACTGTTGCCTAATGGATTTAAACAATGTGAACTGTTATTTTTGTACAAAACATGCAATCAAAATAATGACTGAGTATTATTATTATTATTTTAACACATAGATATTGGTACAAGAAGGCACCAAATACATATGCGCCACACAAATCTTATTCGATATGTGTGAGGGCTGTGATACTGCCCATGTGCCTGAGTAGAGATGACTAATTAAGAATGAAAAGTGGTCACAATTTAATCCCTCACTCCTTTCCATTTGTAAAAACTTTATTATGTTTTTATTTTATCAACGCTTATCGAGTTTTTTGTTTTCTTTTATTCGTTTAAGCTAATCAAGTTAATATATGTACTTTCTATCCTACTGTTATCAATAATTTTCTAACGTTTCATCTCAGGTTGATATTGTTGTGGCTACTCCCGGACGATTGGATGATCTTATTTCAACACAGTCTCTTCTGTTAAGTAATTGTCGTTTTTTTGTCTTGGATGAATGTGATGGTCTTCTGTCTGCCGGCTATGGAGATATGGTTTCTCGAATACACAAACAAATACCTAAGGCTACTGCTGATGGAAATCGTTTACAAATGATTGTTTGTTCGGCGACTCTTCATTCCATGGATGTTAAACGATTAGCTGTAAGTCAAGCTCGTTATTTCCGTGAAGGTGACTTGTTAACTTATCGATAATCTTCCTATTCTTCATGCCTGTATCTTAGATATTACTTCTTCCTAACATTCTATGGGAACAGTTTTATGGTAATTTGTGTTCGACCGTTTTTACAATATTTTACAAGAGAATTTTAACTACTCATAAGTAGTTTGAATTTGAGTCGTTCGTCAAAATTTCAGCTAATTGGTCTTTTCAGAAATTATTTTTTAAAGCTACTTTCAGAGGCTTGGTATTTCATAGTTTCGTTCGTAATCTTTGATGGGAAAATTGTAGTGATCGGAAGGAATTAAACATAACTTTTATTCATTAATTCATTGTCAGTTTAGTGATCTCTAATCAACTCTAACATCCTTTTTTAGTATTTTATACATAAGCGTATTATTTTACTACAGAAAAAGCCCGTTTATCTGGCTAGTGATCTTTTTCTTGGTCTACTCCCATCTGAGGGCTTAGATCAATAAGTTGGTATCGTCGGCAGTCATTACTCAACCACATCGTATCATGGCATTCCATTTATCGATCAATGCTTCATCCATTCACTTAACAATCATTAAACATTCTCCATTGAAAATGAAATCCTCCTCACGTCATAGGCTTCGAAAGATCTGTTCTCATGTTTGGTAGGAACACGAAGCATTTTGGTGCTCAACTTCCTTACTCTGGAACAAGAAGTGTACATATATCGTGTGGTGGAGAACTAAAACTCCGGAGATTTATGTTAAATTCTGGCTTTAGCCCATTGTCTCAGAGATTTTATTTCACTGATAAATCCTCATCTACCAGCTTTTATATATCACTTAATTTCATATGGAAAATAATTTGTGTAACTATTTGGATACGTACAAGCTCATTCGTACAAGCCATATTCAAAACCTTTTCTCTATCTCATTTTAACTAATAACTGCCCAGTTGTTATTGTAAATTAATATCCAAACACATATTTATGTATTTGGCGTTCAGTTAAACTTTCTTTGATTCACCCAAGTATGTAAATTGAGAGACCATAACTGCACCGCAGAATTTGAAAGTTGAATACTTTAATTACTGCATTGTTAATATGTCTATCTACTTAAGTCATAAATAGACCATGTAAAAATGTTGCGGGATTTTAGACAATTAAAATATTCTTTAAAAAATACTGAGATTTTTATTATTGACTTATTTTATGTTCACTCTTGTTCCTTGCTAATCAGATTAAGTTGTCCTCTCGCAAATGAAGAAATTTCTTACTTCAAGTGTTAATTTCTGTTCTTTATTACCTCACATTTTGTTTGAACTTTAGAATAAATTGATGCATTTTCCTGTATGGATAGATTTAAAAGGTCAGGATAGTGTCCCAGAAACGGTACATCATGTGGTAAGTTTACACTACTTATTTTAAGTAATATTGAATCATGATATATTTTTATGATTATTTTGTTTATTACAGTGAATGATTCCAATCGTAACTAATATTTTCGTCCCAAAACGAATCACATTGCATTTTAGTTGTTTTCTAAAACAATCACATTATCTTGATGTATGTTATTTTACGGTATATTGCTAATCAATTATCTTACAGAACCACTGATAGTATAATTACATCAAGTGAACAGTTGGATATTTTGATAATACAAGCAGTTTTTGTAATTCCCAACTTTATCGACTGATAAGCATAGATAACTTCTTGCTTCACGTTATCACAAAGTTAACTATTGTGTGGAGGCATTCGGGTTACCAGTAAAATTGACTGAGCAACAAATCTATTGTATATAAATATATCTCCAATATCTTTGAAGATAAAATCAAAAATAGAATGTTGAAACATCGGTAGACCGGCAAGATGAAACCCTTTTTTGACCGCGACAAAATCGATGGATCACTTAACCATATGTCTGACACTAATGTAACTGAAATGCTCAACTAACTTATGCGATCCCGAATCCGACAACACGAAGTAAAAACCAAACACTGGTGGCAAGGATTTGTTTAACTCCAGAAATAAATCAAAACTATATGTGGATACACCACGTTTTATGTCATTTATTTACATTCAGATTTGTTTAGTTTGAACTGAGAAGTATTTCACATCAATTGATCAATAAATTACTGTGTGCATAAACATTTATAATATCATACAGCTAAAGGTCTGTAACTAAAAAATATAAAAAATTGACTAAGTCATATTATTACTCGCGTGCGTTTATCAGGGGACCATGTAAAAGTATTAACGAGTTGGAAGTAGCAGATGCATCTTGTAACTGTTGGAGCCGCTTTAAGACTCATCCGAGACACTGGTAGCAAGACGTTTCGTGCGTATGAAACAATCAGTGAAGCTAATGGGAAGCCGAGCAATATCACCTACTGACGTCTTACACGATAAGTAATTTTTCGACAACCAGTCCAGCTGGTCTGCTGTCCCGGTGACAGCAATTAGATCGTCCTTCCCTCCATGGTCCGTGACCACTTATCCACCTAACGAGGTAAAAGTCCGCAAGGAACTCCAAATCTTGAAGAACCATAAATCACCAGGTCCAGATGACTTGCATTTAGCTTTTTTAGAAATGGTGGCGAACTTCTGGCTAAGGGACTGACTGAGTTGTTTACCAATATCTGACAATTAGAGAGTGTACAAACATGCTGCGATGAGTCGATAGTTGCCTCTACTCTTTAAAATGGTCCACGTCACCTACGAAAAATCGAGCGAGGAATAAGTTTGCTTCCGATTCTCGACCGTTGTTGCTACCTTGATGTGGTGGTCGGGCTTGCCTATCGTGATAAAGCAACCGACCTATACTGGCTGGAACAACCGTTCCTCAATGTCCTACCATGTCAGACAGGTCGGTTGATGAGCGGTAAGACTAAAAGCAACAAGCCCAAGGTCCGAAGGCGATGTCGCACTGCTCACTGTACAGAGATGTGACTGCAGTAAGGTGTTTCCTTCAGACAACCAGCATAACAGCGATGCTACCTTCCCACAAGGAGGGGTGGGGTTAAAAAGGTCGACCCTAAAAATGCACACCTCGCCTCATCCCACGGATATCCGTCTCCGGCGGTAAGGTCTCAACAAGTACGGCGCTAATACAAAAATTACTCACAAAAAGGTCGTGTGTGACCGACGTCAAGCAGTTGTCCCTTGGACACTGCACTGCGTTCACGCTCTCAGGCCACTAAGACCACCTGTAATCCAATTTCCTTTCCAGGTACCTCCGGAAGAACCCTTCCACAGTGTGGGCAACCAAGAAGTGATAGTCGTCCTCATACCTTTAACAACAGTCAAGACCACTGTATTCATAATCAACCTCCGTCTTCACTTTCTATTATTCCTCCTACATCGACTTTCACCTCTAAACTTCCTCTTTTGGTTTCCTCCTCAAGTGTCACCATAGCCAACGATTCTAGTGCTCAAAACACTGTCCCAGGTCTATCGAAAAATCGCTCCCAACTACACATTGGAGCCTTCAACGTACGCACTCTATATCAAATCGGTCAGCAGGCTTCCCTGGCTAGAACCCTATAATCTCGTACCATTGATGTATGTTGTGTCTCCGAAACACGCATACAGGATTCCAGTGTGGTCATTCACTTGACCTCACCTCGGCAAAACGGAGAGCCGACGAGACACATTCTCCGTTTATCTGGCGACCCGATGGCCAGTTCGAAAAGTTCGTATATCTGGGTAGCTGCATAAGTGCTGGTGGTGGCGTAGGTGATGAGATCAGTTCATGTATAATGAAAGCCAGAGCGGGTTATGCCGATCTGGGTCATCTTTGGTGTCTTCACTATGTTAGTCTGATTGTAAAAGGTCGTATTTACAACGCGTTGGTGATAGCAGTCATGTTCTTTGCTCGTGAAACCTGGCCTCTCGGAGTTGAGAGTGTTGGACGACTCTTTGTGATTGGTCATCGTTGTGTCTAGGATTGCTGAAATCCAATGGCAACACCACTTTAGTAATGCGGAGTTTTGGCAACGTGTACTCGGATACGGTGGTGATAATTCAATTTTTGCCACCATCTTGAAACATAGACCTTAGTGATTTGAATATGTATTACGAATTTCGTCTCAGTGAACCCCACATCGTGCATTGCCGACTCTAGAACTGGTTAGGAAAAGCAGAAATGTGGTCAGTGTATGACATATCTTGGTTTAAAAGAAAATCCCTACACTCATCATCTATTAATTATAAAACTTCATTGAAATCCTGAACCGATTTAAGTTAGCCCACCATTCAAAACCTAAAAACAGTAAACAGCTGTCTCGTCCTAGTGTGTGACTGCACATTCGGGACCTAGGGTCACTCGCTTGAGCTTTCAATCTGTAGACTACTGAGACCGGTATCTGTTCATGCAAATTTCACTATGTACTTTTATCAACAGTTCTATACTTTTCTATTATTTATCTATACTATGATTGTACTTTTCAAATGTTTCTAAAATATTGTTGTGATATCGGTAGAATTTCATTAATTGAATCAATAAAAGTAAATACTCCACAAAATAACATCGAATCACCTTTTTTATTCTTTTTTTCATGTTATTGTCAGCCTCATACAACTAGACGAAAGTTTGTCAGATGTACTTATCAGGATGAATAACAGCAGTCTATTCACTAATAGAATATCATTTGATTGTTTGATGTATCAACATAAGGTCAGAAGTAGTTAGATGTAACAAATTATTCATGGTGAATAACCGATATTCAATGATGAATAAACTTTAGTTTCATTTCACAATTTATATCGAATATTTAGTTCTTCGGGTTAGGTACACAAACATTAATTTGTATTCAAACTCCAATTTTACACAATTCATTAAAATATTCTTCATGTGTATATGATAAATGAAGCGTATGTCTATTCAAATATCATTGTAGATTCCTGGTTAATTCATACAATTACCTAAACAATTTTTTCTCTTATTCGATAACATTCTTTGAAAAAGTAACATTTCATTTCATCGTAAATAAATGTTAATTCTTCACATTCAGGTGTGCCTTATTGATCCCAACAATGACACATCGTGGAAAGAATTAATGAAATCAAATAAACATATACAAACAGATGGGGTCCACATGAAAGATCAACTTAATCCTAATTCGAGTACTCCAGGTGAATATTATGTAAAAAAAGCAGGTTGTATGTTTTTTTTCTCTTATTTAAAAAATGACAGTGAAGTATTAATGTCTTTTTACCAGTTAAATTAACTGTACAATGAGGGATAGACAAGTTGTTTTGGGCACCCGAGCAGTATCACAGCCCTCACACAAATCAAATGAGATTTGTGTGGCGCATATGTATTTGGCGCCCCCTTGTACCAATATCTGTGTTCAAATAATAATAACAATAATAATAATGGGTTAAGGATTAATAATTAAGAGTCAAATGCTTTAATCACTGAATCACTACTTTTCATCAATAACAATTGTAATGTTTTCTAGCTCATAATATGTCGATCATGTAGATGAAACTGCACTCAGTTTTGTTAGCCATTTAGTACATATCTTATATATCTGTTTTAAATTTCTTTGTCAACTTTTTAGTCTTTGCAAGTAAAGTAAAATAGTATTCATATTGATTATGTTTTCTTGATTTAGAGCTTTTGTCAGAAGCCGTAAAATTACTAAAAGGCGAGTATGTCATTCGTGCAATTAAACAGCAAAATATGGATCGTGCACTTATTTTCTGTCGTACAAAATTGGACTGTGATAATCTGGAACAGTATTTCATATCAATGGGTGGTGGTGAGTCAATTAAATACCTTTATTTTTTCAAAAACATCAAGCTGGTGTGTTCGGTTCACTAATTAACTTTAACGAAATGCAATATTGAGCGCTAAAATGTTACGCAAAATTTACATATCATCCCACAATGTTGAAGAATTTTAATTGCTTGCTCTTAGTCAGTAGTCGGAGTCAATCGATAGGTTGTTTTTGACTTAAATGTTTAATGCTAGTTGGTGCTTGTTAGTACGGCGTATCTACAATCTCAAGGTGACTGGTGTACTCGGTCAGATTCAAACATACATGCAGTGTCACATTTAAAGACGTTACCACAAAGCTATTTCGGTTGTGATTGTCCTCTCGTGGTAAGTTACGAATTTTAATCACTTGTCTAAGAAACTTCACATCACAGTGCACTTTGATATTACGTGAATGGCGAAAATTAATATGAATACGTTATTGAAATATTTCCCGAATATACATCAATTCTATTATCATCCAATCGTAACTAGTTGTTATATCACTATCAATGTTTTACTTGATAGTTTCAAACAAATTGAGCATTATTTCACTGGTTGAAATCATGAGTCAATTGAAGCTAGACCACCATGGAAAATCTGGAAGCACTGGACGGCCGTTTCGTCCTAGTATGGGACTCCTCAGCAGTGCGCATCCACGATCCCGCCCCCCCCCGCGAGAATCGAACCCAGGACCTATCAGTCTCGCGCCAGGCCCTTAACCAACTAGACTACTGAGCCGGCATCCAACGGTGTTAACCCATTCTGAAATTGAGCATTAATTTGATTATTTATTATAATAAAATGATATATTTGCATTATCTCAATTAGTAGAAATTTGATTTTCTACTCATTATTTTCATTATTAAATATTCATAATAATTAAATTATAATTAACCCGTCTACCTGTACACATTTCGTAATAAATGGATCCTCCTTATTCATCATCCATTCCAATTCGTATGTATACAAACTAAGTGAATACAACTTATCCTCACTAGTTATCTCTTCTCTTCATGGAAAATTATGTAATATTTTATACATTAGAAATTTGAATCAGCTTACGTAATCTTAATCAAGGTAGATTAAAATAAATTAATTATCTTGTCTGATATCTAGTTAAATGATCTGTGAATTTTAATACTCTAAATAATCGTAATTCATTTCCGCATTATTATAATGTTATGTTTCACAAATTTCTTTTCGAAACTTTCAATATATATGCGCTAATCGGCTCGGAATATCTGGAAAAGAATTCATCATCCAGCCTTCCTTTACTTACAGATGTGATATATAAATAAATCCCGGAAAGGAATGGGATACCAAATATCTTTGAACTTCTGGTCGGTGTGCACGAGTTTAATATTACCCGTAAACGGCACACTGACTTTAAGAAAATCTTAATAATACTCTACTTCAACTAAAATATAAGAACGTTGGACTAGTGAGAGATGCGTGAAATACTGTATTCAATAATATGATGTAATTCAGTGATTGCATATAATTTGAGAGGAATTTATCATGTAAAGTACTAGGAATAATAACTAGGACTGTTCAAATCACATATGTATTTAGACATACGACGATAATTAATCGAAGGATAATGTAACAACAAGGTTCACCAAAGGAATTTGGAAGCATGTATATTCACTTCTCGTTTGTCTCTTCCTTGTGGTTCATTATTCGCCATTATTTTGAGGTATAGTAGGCCAATCAGACATCGAGTGCACTGTATCGACCGAGATCTGATTCTCTTTTCTAAGGAATTAGTCACACTACTAGTCAGATATACGGTTTACATCTCTAAAGGACATGTTTATATATAACGGTTATCTCCCGATTCAATTGTTTGTTAAAAGCACTCTAATCACTTTCTCACTCTGCTATCTAGTTTAACCCGCATGTAGGATGCTTGTGTGTATCAGTATCAGAATCGTACATCTCACATGGCTTTTCGCAAAACCTTAGTCTTATAACGTTTCATTTATTCTATGGTGAAGAGAATATTCTAAATTTGTTATCATTACATTCAAACTTGAACTACCATCAACAAATTAAACCATAATTTTTAGCATGAAATCGTGGAGATCTAAATTTTTATTGGAATCACAAACCGATCTAAGTTAGACCACCATTAAAAACCTGGAAGAACTAACGTCCCCTCTGTTCTAGTATATGAATTCTCAACAGCGCTCATCGACGAACCCGCATGCGGGATTCGAATCCGGGACTTCCTATCATGATATATTTAGTTAACCAAGTACTCATTTCTAACCAGTTTATCTTCAAAGCTATAAAGCAGTATATATGTTAGATTATCAGTCTGAAAACTAGCTATATATTTTCTAGAATTAACCATACCATTCGAAGTAGAAAGTTATGATGTGAAATTCTTGTATAAAGTGAGAAATGTATTCATCATTGAAGTAATCAGAATCAATAAAAGTGTAAGTAATCTGAAAGTTGATTTATGAAGTGGTATGACGGGATTAAAAAGCAAAATTATATTATTTTACCCATTGTGATTTGTGTTCAGCGTTACTTCCGTTTGAATTCAATATAGTGATTATTCATAGTGGTATTTGTTTTGTTTTCCAATGTGATATTTCACAAAGTATAACATTAATATATTCGAGTGTGATTTTGATCCAAGATACAATATTCTTGTATTAGATTAACATAAACTATGCTCAGCATAATACACGGGATGTGATTTGTTATAATTCTAAGTATTTTTCATATACGTGATTTCATCCTTATTAATAATCAAAATGGGTGTAGTCATATATATATATATATATATATATATATATATATATATATATATATATATATATATATATCGAGTGTATTTTCGACTTGGATCGTTGTTTTAGAGTAAATAAGTTTTCAGTTGTATCAGTTTTGATGTAAAGTGATTCCGACATAACAATTAGCGACGACCAGTCATGATATAAAGCCTACAGTATGAATGGTAATCAAGGATCTTAAGTAGAATAGATCTTGTATGATGGAATCAAAAGACGAAAAGATAGGAACATTTTTTAAAATATTACTTAAAGGTTATATATGATGAATTAAGAAAGTTAAAAAATTTTTTTTGCTGATCAGATATGGTAACTAAAGATTCTGGAATGTAAAATGAGTTTAGACCCGGAATACTGAAGTAAGAATTGTAAATTTCCTTTATCAGCTATATGTTACAGAATAGAGAAAGTTACTGAACATCTAAGTTGTTTTTTGTCAAGTCATTCTAAGATATAGTTGGAGAATCGTTTTGTCCACTATTAGTATGAAAATCCTTGCATATTATTACATATGCAATAAGTGTAGTTAATTTCCATTAGTGTTAAAGAATCGACGATTGTAATTGATAGTTATTGCGAACTCCACATTATGGTATGCATTACTAACTGGTTAAAGCAAACTCAAATTTCACTTCGTTCAAGTTTCTGTTAACTCATTTCATCGTAATCTCAGTAGTCCACAAATAAATGATCTGATTATTCCATGACATCATCTAATATTATCTAGGATAACCTTACACCAAGCTTTTCAATGCTTATCGTGTCTACTTCTAGCTCTGTTAAATAGTGACAAATGTACGTGTTGTATTTTACATTTAGAATAGTACTAAATATGTAGTAATTCCATTTATCTCGATATTTCTTAATTCATTAAACTGTCGAATATTATGAGAATTATTTTCAACAAAGCTGACTGAAAAAGTATATGCATCGAAAATATCTTCATTTTATGTGATAAGTTTACTTGACACTGACTTTTCACACTAAGGAGCTAATTTTTATCTGTTGATAATTTTTATACACCTAGGACCTAATCGTCGTGATTCACCATTTACTTGCGTTTGTCTTCATAGTGATCGAGCTCCTCCGGAACGTAAAGCAAATTTGCAAAAGTTCAAGGTATTAGTCACTATTTATTTCATCTTGGAAATTTTTGTCAATTATTTAATGCGTTTTCTCGGTAACCAAGAGTATCTGTTAACAAATGATTGTTTCCTTTTTTCCAGAATGGAGATGTTCATTTTCTTATATGTACAGATGTTGCTGCACGTGGTATCGATATTACTGGTCTCCCATATGGTAAGTGGATGAATAAATCACATTCATTTTCAAAACTGTTTTTGTTAATGCTACCGTCTCATATTTGGAAGAATAGTAATTTAGTTAATGATGTAATTTGACGACGCATCAACATATCCTGTGATCTGTTGATAATATGAACTAACAGACAAGATCCCTTACTCATTTCCCTCTTATATCACAGGTAGCTACCTATCACGAATTATTTAAATCAACAAATATCGACCATTAAATACCAGCTCAGTGGTGTATAGATTAGGAGCTTGCAGCGCGACTTAATGGTTATGGGTTTGATCCTCGATAGGGTCATAGATTCGCACCTTTAGCGAGTCCCATACGTGAACAAAAATTTATGCAGTACTTTCTAACTCTTGATGGTTTCCTGACTAAAGTCGGTCTGTGACGTAAACAATGTAGCGGCATCAACAATTCGATCATTACTGATCCACAATATTATTTAAAAGGCCTTTTTTCTCTCTTTTGATAAGGTTATTTGATCTTTAGGAGAATAAGAAAACATACTCTGATAACTTCATAGAAATTATATCTTGCCACAACGAGATTGCTACTTGTTATAAAATCCAAACAAAACTTATTTGTTTTCTTTTTTACTATGTGTGTTCAAAACTCAGCATTTTATGACTCCGGACTTTTATTTCCATCGTTAGCTAGTTTTAGGCATTTGTCACTCCTTTTATTGTGTACTCACAGTTGCCATAATTTCTTCCCCACTTTGTTTTTTTTGTAGTGATTAATGTGACATTGCCAGATGAAAAACAAAATTACGTGCATAGAATCGGTCGTGTAGGTCGTGCTGAAAGGTGAAAAGAGAAGTGATTTCTCCAATATGTATTTGCTGATTGTTTTTATCTAAGGATATTATCATTTTATGGTGTCCCCAGAAAAATTTACTCATTTTGTGTAGAGTTTCGTTTAATCTGACGCTTCTTTATCATTGAATTGTGTATGAATATGATGATAGCGTCAAATAATTTTCTCTTCACGATTTGTATTCATCGCGTTAACGATAAACCATTTTAGTGCATTATTTTATATATTCTCACTTAGGGGATCATCAGCTGTTTACAAAAATAGACGTCTTTATTGAGAATGTGTAGCACAAATGCACAGATTGATGATGTACTATGTTTGGTAGCCACACTTTTCTACATACCAAGTTATGAAAATGCTGACTATACAAAATAAGTGAAGCGAAAATGTAAAATGTAAAATTAATAGTTAACGCTTATAATGAATTGGACCGCAACTCTGGTGATCGTATGTTACGAAGGTTACTAGTCTTTGGATTATTCTCTTCGTTCTTTACTCAGCATTATTTATTTATGTATGGCCGCTTGAGGAAACCACCTGCTTCGGTTTGGACACTCGAGCAGTATTTCAGCCCTCACATAAATCGAATGATTCATGTGGCGCATATCTATTTGTTGCCTCCTTGTACCAAAGTTTACGTGTTTGAATAAATAATATTTATTGGGATATTTCTCAAAAACTTACTTCAGTATTAAATTGATTACTTACGGTATACTAGAAATTTTCATATTATGATTAAGACAACATATATAATCGGACAGTATTGTTTAATTAGACATGATAATAATAAGACATGATTCTCATCATATAGTTGATCTACATTTTCCTACTGTTTCTTATAGTGAATATGTAGAGCGTTGATTTAATAATTAAACCACTGATTGCTTCAACTATTAGGTCTTAATAAATATGAACCGCGTTTCACTTCTTAAAGGTTGATTTGTCCACCATTATTAATATTGTTATCAGCCTATTGATTGGGTAGAGTCATATGTTTACTCATTCCTGTTTGATTTCATCCTTTTGTATTCAACATCACTTCATGTTGGATGATGACATAAAATTAAAGCAACTGTTTCATCGATTTTCCTTCGACATTTCCGTTTCTATTTTAGGATTCCCAAACTGCATAACGTGTAGCATTAGTGAACATTTATATAAATTAACCTAATTGCATAACACTTACCCATACAAAGTTCATTGGAGGGATCTTTGTTTGGATAATTAAGTACCAAGCTGTACAATCATATATATATATATAATTAAGTTGACTCCACATGGTATACATTAAAACTTTTTCTTGAATTTCTTACTAATTATGTTGATATCTGAACAGTTGGCTAATACTAATAATACATTCAGTAGGGTGAAATTAGCATAGTTCTGTCAAATATTAAATGTTACCCAAATTATCATTTACGTAACGTATACTATATGATATTATAAATTATTCAGTTTATTTGCTATTGTTTGATGTCGATATTTTTTGTTAAAAGCGTGAGATACATTTTACTAGTGTTTAAACACGCTAACTCAAATAAATTCTTTGAAACATATCAGTGTTTCCTGTTTAAATGTTAATCTGTATACCTTATTGTTTCACCTAACGAACATATACAGTCAATTTGAGTATTAACTTTTTACGTAACCAAAGTTTCATACACCGGAAATGCTTTAGTGATTTTTCCTTTCCACTGTTCATATCCACTTGTCGGTGTATATTTTATTAGTTACGAGTTTGTGCTCTCTAAAATATCTCATTCCATAAATAACAAATTGTGAAGGTTCTTCACTCGAACACTATCAATCGAGTCAGAGGTTATGGCGAACCGCCATCGGATTCTGCAACTATAAGTGGTGTCCGGCAAGGCTGTCCAGTTTCTCCATTTTTGTTCAACTTTATCATAGATCTACTGCTGGAAATAACATTCTCGTCTACTGAATTTTCGGGCATTGATCTCCTACCAGGAGGTCCACTTATCGACTTAGAATGCGCAAATAACATAATCCTGTTTTGTGAAGACGATAATACAATGCAAAATCTTTTGTTAGCACTGAGTAACAATGCCAGGATGTTCGGGATGCGTTTCCCCCTTCTAAATGCAAATTGTTGCTTCAGGACTGGCCTACCATAACACCTGAACTAAGAATAGGTTGTGAAGTAGTCGAACGCGTCGACAACTTCACTTATCTTGGAAGTCGGATCAGCCTTAATGGGTCGGTGTCTGACGAAATCTGTGCACTAATTCGAAAATCTCGTTTGGCTTTTACCAACTTACGTGACCTATGGCGAAGGCGATGTATCCGTCTTTCAATTGAGGGACCAGTATACTGCTTGGCAGTTCGTTCTACTTTACAGCTGCGGATATTCGTAAGTTCCTAGTATTTGATCACAGATGTCTTAGAAAGATTGCTCGCATCCGCTCGAATCACCAGGTAAGTAATAGTGAGGTTAGACGCAGAGTATTAAAGAGTGATGTTAAATCGGTTGATGAGGTTGTGAATCTTCATAGACTGAGATTTTTGGGCCACGTGTTACGTATGCACAATGCTGAGTAGTGTTGGGTATGGTTGGAAGAAAGTTAGGGGCGGCCAAACCAAATCGTGGTATTAGTCCTTGAAGTCACTGAATTCTGGTTTTAGCCATGTTGGTAGATGCAGATTACTTGGTTGGGGTCCGCGTGACTCTCGTAACCAATGGTTGGAGACTCGGGGTGACATGGCTGAGAATCGGTCACAATGGCGTAGGTGTATACACTGTTTGTCTTCACTTAAACCGTGAGATTAAGATTACTTTATACTTTCCTTCCTGTATTATATCTTTATACGCAATATCCGTTTTATATATTACTACCATTGAAGTAACTACTATGAATTTGTTGTTTATCTTGTGCTAATGAGGTATGGCAACTTGGACCTATGCAGGTATGTACCTGGTCCTATTTTGTAGCTTACCCAGTAGTATTCATATTTTTCTTCGAAACCTGTGCTTGTTCGTAGTATTAATTTTTCCCCATTTTTTTATTACATTGAATTGGGTTATGTTTCGCAACGCGTTTAAAATAGAAATTTTTGCGAAACAGGACCAAAAGCGAAGTTGCTCAATCGCGTCCAATGAAAATTTTTTTATTTAAGAATATGATTTAGTATACTGATTTTTTTTCAATGTACGTCGAACTAATTACAAATCAATAACTGTTCCCAATAGAATTAATAATTCACTCTTGATACTTTAGTCCCCATAAGCAGGTTTTCTTATTGTCTCTGTAAGTGAACCTGTTGTTCGTCATTACAACATTGCAAATATTTTTTATTTTTTATTTGTAATGTAGAAGCTTCTGTTTAACCGTTTTGTCTAGAAAACTGATGATTATTATCTTCAATTTCCTCTTTTACTCAACCTTTATTGTTTCATAGAATGGGTCTGGCGATCAGTCTAGTGTCGACGGTCAAAGAAAAAGTAAGCACAGTAATCTATTGTACATGTTAGGCTATAGTAAACAATCGTCTGCATAAAATTTACAGTTTTCATATAAACTCCACGTCAGTAGTGTCCAATTAGAAAAATTTATTCAAATATATTCCAACAGTGTTTGATTACTGTTCATCTTATACTGCAGTTATTTTTCATATTTTGATAATTTTCCTCTCGTATCCCAAAGTGTTTAGCACCATAATAGTTTTTTGGCTTTTGACGAAAATGTGCGTGGACGTACATCTAGCCATTTGCATACACATTATCACCTCGTCAAAACAGACCACACTATCTTGCTTTCTTATTAACTCTGTCAATAAGCCTATCAACTATTGACTATACCCAGAAAGTAATTATAAACAGTTCAGTTAAATAAAACCATGAGATTACGTGATATTCCGATTATATATCACAGTGAATATATTTCTGTTATTATATTAACGATGAAATATGAAAAGTAGTTGAGGAATTTTTGTTTTATTAACACTTGTTTTCTACTATTATTCTTGGATGAAATAGTCAGCTTAACTTCAATCCAGATATACTTTTCTGTACCAACTCTACAAGATAAAATGTTGAACTAAATATATTCTAGCAGTCAACAATAGGTTCATAGCCTAGATTGCGATCTTTCCGCCATTCATCAACTAATTATAGTCAGCCCCCAAATGCCCTGGTATGGCTGAGAGTGGAATGGGCCCGCCCTCCTTTTCGAAATGCTCTCACACGGCCACGCGTATACAGCTTCTGCCAGAGAAGTCCTATTTACTGTATTCTCGTGTCATTACTGTTGTTTACAAAAATGAGAGGACGAAAAGCGAATGTCCGGCGCTTTAACCGGATTCCAAACCAAATCAATGGTGCACATGGGCTCCAGTATCCTGAAGGAACAAATGGCGTATGAACCAATTGTTGGCCGCTGGTTACCATGGGACTGCATCTCCTCACGATGTTCCATTGCCTTGTGCCTCGGGATGTGGCCCCCTGAGAAAACCATCTGCTTCGGTCTGGGCACCCGGGCAGTATCACAGCCTACACACAAATATAATGAAAATGATGGTATTTACTGAAAACTCTATTCTCGCTTCGATTAACAGTCAAACAATTCACATTATTATTATTATCTTTGTTTACTACATAACTTATTCGCTCACTTTTATTCCCACTTTACGTATCCTTATTTTTCGACTTATACAGCAGCTCGCCTATGATGGAAACTCGGTTCTATCTAAACGTTCTCGAGTCACTGCCTGGTTGAAAATTGAACGCTACCATCAAATACGAATACTGAGGCAGTTTTTCTAAAACCACGTGCACCATTCAAACTAGCTGTCTTCAAGGTTTGCACACTTATGCAGGTTGGACAACAGATAGGGCTGGCTATGTCTTTGGAAAGTCTTAATATCGACGTGTGTTGTCCATCCGAGACCCGTGTTCAAGGCTCTGGTGAAGTACTACAAATTCGCTCTCCATCTGTCGCTTCAAAAAGCTTGTTTTACTTGCGTTTATTCGGGGACTCTGTGGCATCTTCGTCTGGTCTTGCTGGCGTTGGTGTCGCACTAAGCGCTAGAGCTGAGGCAGCACTAATCGATTGGATCCCTATTAACAGTCGGTTGGTTATGTGCTGTTAGATTAGGAAGTTCCATCAAAGTGGGAAGAAATTGGCGTGAGAAACGATGTCTTTTCGTCATCTCCGCCTATCCCCCGACAGATTGCAACCCGAATGCAATCAAGGATGAGTTTTACCACCAGTTATCTGTTCTTCTCCAGAAAGTGCGTTCGACAGATATTGTAGTACTAGCCGGATACTTGAATGCTCAGGTCGGGTGTCTAGGCACAGAAGAGAGTCGTTTAGGTGGCCGATGGGGACTAGTTGGTCGCAGGTCAGATAACGGAGACCGTCTACTGCAACTGTGAACAGACCACAACCTGTTTCTGGCTAGCACTAACTTTCGGCACAGTCATCGCCGATGTGCCACTTGGCGTCCTCCCTCTGCATCTCAAGCCTGGACTCAGATTGCTCACATCGCGATCAGCTACCGCTGGCGTGGTTGTGTACAAGACTGCCGCTCCTTTTGGAGTACCTATCTGGACTCTGACCATGCCTTGGTCTGCGCCAATCTTGCCTTACTTTTCAGTGGCCAACGAAGTGATCGTCACCAATGGATTGATGTTAGCAAGCTGGTTGCAACTTCTGTTGCTAGTAAGTGTCGAACCGAGATGTCTACTATTCCACCGAAACGTTTAGATGAGCATTGGTTGCAACATCATGATGCCAGCAAAATGGTGAGTAAAGCCACTTGCGGCTTCGCGAAACGTCTCACTTATAAGCACTGGGTTTCTTCAGGTTCCTTACAACTCATTGAAGCCCGTCGGTCTACTCCGAGTAACCGTGAGTTTCACCACAGACAAAGGATGTTACGTACTGAAATTGGGCAAAGCTTGCGTAAGGACCGAGAAGCCTGGTGGTCGGAGCGTGCTAATGAGCTGGAAGCAGCAGCTGCATCTGGTAATTACCGGAAGCTCTCCCAACTCATCCGAGCCACTGGCAGCAAGAAGTTAAGTGTGAGCGAAACAATCTTTGATGATGACAGGATGCTAATCACTAACATCCATCGACGTCTTGGACGATGGGCAGAATTTTTCGAAGGGCAGTTCAACTGGACTGCTGCTCCGGCAACATCGGTCAGACTGTCCTGCCCTCCATGGCCGGTGACGACTGATTCACCAAATGAGGCGGAAGTCCGCAAGGAACTCCAACTCTTGAAACGTTACAAATCACCTGGCCCAGATGACTTACCTCCGGCTCTTTTTAAAGATGGTAGTGACTTTCTGACTAAGGAACTAACGACGTTGTTTACGAAGGTCTGGGAGCTAGAGAGTGTTCCAACATCATGGAATGAGTCGATAGTTGTCCTTATCCTTAAAAAGGGTTCACGTCGTTCCTGTAAGAACTATCGAGGGATAAGTTTACTTCCGATTGAGTCCAAACTGTTGGCTTCCGTCATACTTCGTAGGTTGTTCAAAACTCGAGAAAGATTGGCTCGCGAGGAGCAGGCTGGGTTTCGTTCTGGTCGAGGATGTATTGATCATATCTTCACCCTCCGTCAAATGTTAGAACACCGCCATGCTTATCACAGGCCAACAATCGTAGTGTTTTTTGACATCATGGTTGCCTTCGATTCGTTGGACAGGGCTGTTTTCTGGAATTGTCTATTGAAGAAGGGTGTGCCTGAGAAGTTTATTAACATCCTAAAAGCCCTATATACAAACACCTCAGGTAGAGTGATGGCATACAACCACCGCTCTACGCTATCCCACTAAAGCAGTGGGATTAGACAGGGTTGCCTAATCTCACCATTCCTCTTCAACTTTGCCATCGATGACATTCTGGAGACCGCTCTGATGGATGTAAGTAATAGTGGTGTGGATCTGTTGCCTGGAGAAAGACTTCTCGACCTTGAGTATGCGGACGATATTGTCTTACTGTGCAACAATGCCCAAGGCATGCATTCCGCACTTAATCAGTTGGCAATCAGTGTCCGTAGGAACGGTATGTGCTTTGCACCTTCGAAGTGCAAAGTACTTCTACAAGACTGACAGAATTCTAATCCTGTACTCACCCTGGATGGTGAGCAGATAGAAGTAGTCGAGAAGTTCGTGTATCTAGGTAACTACATGAGTACTGGTTGTGGCGCGAGTGATGAGATCAACGCACGTATCAGTCAGTCAGTAACAACGTAGAACTTCGTACGTACGCACATCAGTTCGAGTTGCCACACCACATTAGCACAGAGATTCAGTTGTCGATTCAAATCCCGTAGTGGCAGAGGTAGAAGAGTATAAGCAGTAATCGGGAAAATTAGTGCTTGGAGATGTCATTTAAAGAGGATAATACAGTGAAATAAATTTGGGAAGAGAAAAAAGAAAGGGACATGAAGAATTCAGAAGGTTAGAATTTAGGAGAACACAGAGAGTGGATGCACCTGCGCCATTGCAAACGATTTTGAGCCATGTCATTCAGGGTCTCTAACCATCGGTTGCTATCATCTCGCGGTCCCCAACCAGGTAGTCTACACCTACGAACATGACTCAGTCCACTTGTCAGTGACTTCATGGACTTGTGCCATGTTTTGAACTGGCCGCCCCTAGCTTTCTTCCAACCTACTCCTATACCACTGAACATAGCACGTCGAGGCAGTCGATGGTTGGGCATAAGTAACACGTGTCCTAGCCATCTCAACTGATGAGCTTTCACTACTTTATCAGTTGATTTTCCATTCTTAACTAGTACCCGTTTCGTACGAACTGTATTACTTACTCGGTGGTCCCAGGTTATACGAGCAATATTACGAAGACACCTATGATCGAATACTAGTAACCTACGAATATCATCTACTCTTACCGGCCATGTTTCATTGCCATAAAGTAGGACGGAACGAACTGCTGCACAGTAAAGCCGTCCTTTGGTTGATAGATGGATATCTCGCCTACGCCATAAATGACGCAAGTTAGTAAAAGCTAGTCGAGCCTTCTGTATCCATGTTGAGATTTCGTCACACACCAGACCACAAGGACTGATGAGACTTCCAAGATAAGTGAAGCGGTCGACACACTCAACTACTTCACTCTCTATCATTAGTTTGGGTGTCAATGCAACCTAATCCTGTAGCAACATTTTGCATTTCGAGGGGGAGAATCGCATCCCGAACATGCTTGCATTGTTGCTTAGAGTGGTCAGAAGACTCTGCATTTTGTCAGCATCTTCACCAAATAAAACTATGTCATCTGCATATTCTAAGTCAACAAGTGAACCTCCCGGTAGAAGTTCAACCCCTGTAAATTTAGATGAGGAGAGTGTTATCTCTAAAAGTACGTCGACCACAAAGTTGAACAAGAATGGGGAGAGTGGACAGCCCTGACGAACACCACTTGAGGTAATCAATTCTGATGACAGTTCGCCATAAGCTCTCACTCGACCAGTTGTGTTCGAGCAGAGAGCCTTTATAAGGTTAATGTACTTCTTTGGTACTCCTTTCAGTGACAAACACTGCCATAGAACCTCACGATCGACAGAGTCGAATGCTGCTTTAAGGTCGAGAAATACTACGATTGTGGGGCGTCTGAATGTGTGTCTGTGTTCTAGGACTTGACGTTGTGTGAATATCTGGTCTATACAACCACGTCCAGGTCGAAAACCGGCCTGGTTTTCTCTAATCTTCTCTTCACGAGCTTTAATTAAGCGTCGAAGTATTATTGAGGCTAATATTTTAGACACTATATTAGTCAAACTGATTTCTCTGTGATTGTCACAGGAGGACTTTTGTCCTTTCTTATAGACTGGCACAATCAGTGATTGAGACCAGTCAGATGGGATTACGTCCAGTTCCCAAATTCTACCTAAGACCTCGGTTAATCTCATTGCTAATACTGGACCACCATCCTTAAAAATCTCAGGAGTAAACCTGTCAGGGCCAGCTGCTCTCCCTCGTTTCAGATTTCCTATAGCTTTTTCAACTTCGTAAAGGGACGGAGGACCTACATTAACTTGCCATTCAGGTTGACTAGAGATCGTGGGAAACCGAAGTGTGGCTGAAGGCCCGTTGAACTGATCCCTAAAGTGTTCTGCCCATCGATCCAATCTCCTGTATTGTGAATGAATAATATGTCCATCTTTCTCTGAGATTGTTTTGCTAACGGTCGGGTTCCTAATTCCGGTTTCCTTAACGAGTCTGAACAAATGTCTGCTATTACCTATTGCCGCTGCCTTTTCCATCTCTCTTGCTTCCGCTACCCACCACTGTTCACGATCATTGCGTAGACTTTTTGTCAGCTTGCGCTTAAGCTGACTCCGCTCTTCATTATGTTCAGAGCCAGGTGGAATGAGTTTCCGAGCATCTATCAGTGCGATAGATGCTGCTGAGATCCAGTGTTGCTCCCTAACCTTCTGGTTTACCTTACTAGCAGATATCACTGCTGTTTCCACAACGTTTCGGATATCATTCCTTGCTGCATCGGGGTGGGCATCACATACATGGCTGCCTAACTGTTTTCCTAGTTGTTCCTGAAATATACTCTTAGCTTGACTATCATTAAGTAGGGCCCTAAGAGGTTTCCTTGCAGCGTCTTTCCTACGTCCAGTAAGACGCAAGCAAATACGCGCTTGCACTAGAGCATGATCTTAATCTAGGCATGTGCTCCAGAATGAGCGACAGTCTTCTATCGAGCCCCTCCATCGGTGGCTGATAGCGATGTGATCTATTTGGGTCCAACGTTGAGACGAATTAGGGGGTCGCCATGTTAGATGTTTATCCTTATGCTTAAAGTTAGTATTTGCAAGGAACAGACGGTTATCTGAGCATAGCTGCAACAGACGGTCGCCATTATCTGTTCTTTGAGCCACGACACCATAAGATCCACCCAGATGTCTTTCCCTATCGCTTAGTTTACCTACTTGAGCATTAAAGTCACCGGCCACTATTACTACATCCGAGCGCTTAGCTTTTCGGAGAAGGTCCGAAAGCTTTCTGTAAAACTCATCTTTTACATCATCTGAGCTGCAGTCAGTGGGAGAATAGGCAGAGACAACGAAGAGGCAACGACGAGTGTCCCTATCTTTCCGGATTTTTACTGTTCCGTTTAGTCGGACAGCGCACAAACGACTGTCTACTGGGATCCACTCTAAGAGAGCTAGTTTTGCCCTAGGACTCAATGCTATACCTACGCCGGCGAGGCCACGGGAAGCAGAATCAGGGCTTCCAGATACACGAAGCGTAAATCGAGTCGGTTCTTTATTTTGGCATGGTGAGGTCAAATGAATGACGCTACTTGGATCCTGTGTGCGCGTTTCGGAGACGCAGCACACATCGATGGCGCGAGATTCTAAAGTTTTAGCTAAGGAAGCCTGCTGTCCTATTTGGCAAAGTGTCCGTACGTTAAAAGCTCCTACGTGTAGTTTAGAGCGTGGTTTCAGGAGACCAGGAATAGCGTTCCACGTACTCGAATCGTTTGCTCTAGCGGTGCGAGGTGATAGAGAGACGTGAGGAGGGTTAGTTGGGGAGTTAAGAGTGGTATTAGGAGGTGTAGGAAGGATTTGAATGTGACCAACTTGGTCTCGTGTGCTGTTACGGGTATGACGGGCTGATGTCACTTCCCGGCTGCCCACACCGTGGGAGGGTATTTCTTGAGAAACCTGAAAAGGAAATTGGATTAGTGTTGGTCTTAACGACCTGGGAGCGTGACCGCAGAGCCCAAGGGACAACTGCTTGAGGCCGGTCGCGCACGGCCTTTTTGTGGAAGGTTTTTGACGTGTTAGCTCCGTTCTTCAAAGGGCCTTACCGCCGGAGACGGAGATCCGTGAGGTAAGGTGAGGTGTGACATTTTTAGGGTCGACCTTTTCTAACCCCACCCCTCCTTGTGGGAAGGCAGCATCGCTGTCATGCTGGTTGTCCGAGGGAGACACCTTACTGCTGTCACACCTCTCTACAGTTGTAGTGAACAAGAACACGGGTGGGGACAATCGATTGTATTTAGCACAACGATTACAGACTATCTCAATAAAATGTTAATACCATAAAGTCAATCGTCAATTTGCAAAATATCATTCCATCATATCAAACTGTACTGTTGCCGTTACAAACACTAACCCATTGTCTCCCATTCCATTGTACATGTGTTTTCTTACAATTCCATTGTGCTCTTGCTCTTCCTTTCTTGATCTTCGCCATCTTCTGCTGCCGGACCTTACGTTTATTTAACGCACGTTATATACTACTTATATGAATATAAGTAGCCCACACCACACAGTCAGCAGTACGACTTCGCCCTCAGACCTTAAGTTGCTGCTTTTAGTCTTACCGTTCACCAATCGACCTGCCTGGCATGGTAGAACCTACAGGAACATATGTTCCAGCCAATATAGCTCGGTTGGGTCATCACGATAGGCAAGCCTGACCACCGCGTCAAGGTAGCAGCTTCGGTCGGGTCAACGCACGTATAGTGAAATCTAGAACGGCTTCTGCCAATCTGGGCCATCTTTGGCGCCTTCATGATGTTAGTCTGGTTGTAAAAGGTCGGATCTACAATGCGTCGGTGAGAGCAGTCTTGCTCTATGCTTGTGAAACCTGGCCTCTCCGAGTTGAGGACGTTAGACGACTCTCTGTGTTCGATCATCGCTGTCTCCGAAGGATTGCTGACATCCAGTGACAACACCATGTTAGTAATGCAGAGGTTCGGCATCGTGTGTTCGGGCACAGAGATGATAATGCAATTGGTTTCACTATCTTGAAACACCGACTTCGGTGGCTTCGACACGTTCAACGAATGTCATCCCATAGAATTCCACGTCGTGCATTATTTGCCGACTCTGGGACTGGTTGGAAAAAGCGGAGAGGTGGTCAGTATATGATATAGTGTCGTGGTATGAAAGAAAGCTGTAAAGGACTGGCTTGTGTTGGTCTTTCACGACTCCCTGGCTGGGGTCCGAGAGATGGTGCAACACAGTGGCTAGAGACGTTATCAGATATGGCTCAGAACAGAAAGTAGTGGCGATCCTGCTGTAACCTTCTTTTACTTTCTTCATAAAAAGTGGTTGTATCTTCCTTAACTGAAAGATTCCTTCTGGTTGTACCTTTCTGTTCCCGATATTATTATTATTATTATTATCATTATTATTATCATTATTATTATTATTATTATTATTATTATTATTATTATTATTATTATTATTATTATTATTATTATTATTACTTACACTAATCTAGTCGTTATTGTTCCTCTTCTTCTTTTTTCTTTCTTTTACGCTCCTTACCTCCTTTTACTCTCTTCTCATTCTCATTGTTTTGTGTGGCGCATATATGTTTGGTGCCCTCTTGTACAAATACTTATGTGTTCAAATAAATGAATAATTACAGTCAACCACTCCTAGTTTAATCTATTGTAATTATGTCAATGGTCAGTGTTATCAATCCTCCTGAACTATGTTTCGAATTAGATAAACATGTTTATTTGTTTAGAAAATGTGCTTTATCAATGTGCAAAACAAATTAATTTTATTTCTTGATAAATGTCTTTACAAAAGGTATGGTATCACTCTAATTGTTCTACACGTGGTCGTGGCTGTTATAATACTCGTTTGTTAGATCAAGGTGGTTGTTGTACTTGGTATAACGAGCCTAATTTATTAAACGAAATTGAAGAACACTTAGGTGTGACTATCGATACGGTGGACAAAAATTTAACTATACCCGTAGATGCATTTGATGGAAAAGTTGTATATGGCCAGAAATTGAAAAAAAGTAAGCTTTGCTTATAAAAAATATTTATAATATATTGATGTTTGTAGTTAATGTTATTCGTATTTTGCACTACTGTAACATATTTAATGAATTGGGAACGATTTTTAGCCATCATTTATAAAGATTTTATCTACATTGATTGAATTAGCCAACAAGAAACTGACTAACTAGGTTTATGCATGCTAATCAATGTAGTCATACCCGACCGAAAAATCTGCTGTTAAGTAAATTAAATTGATAATCTGATTTATTGTTATTGAACTTATTCGATTATTGACTGTTAAAACAAGTTTATCTTTGAAGTATTTACAAGGTATATTCTGCTTTGCAAATTGTTGTATTGTACAATATTGTTAAAACGTGGGTAAACAATTGCGCAAACATTATCTAAGAAATTACCGATCATTAATTATTACTTTGTTAAGGTTAAGTAAAAAGCTCATAACTTATTAGTTCAAATGAATTGGACAAACACACTCCTACCAGCCGTTTATTGAAGACATCATTCATTGAACTTGCCCTCGACATTCAATACTTTAATTGATATCTTGTCCCATTAGCTTACCCTTTCAGTCTTGATCGTGTGACTAATAAAATTTGCGATAAGATTGTCTTTGAATGGAATAAAAAAGATTATATTCTCTAAAAGTACTCTTTCACGTTATGTTCTTTAAGTTTCCAAAAGTTGATTTTTGTGCAATATTAACTAAAATCATCTGGAAAGCTTCCCAAAACCAGACAGATTAGGTTACCTATTTTTGGTAGTTTTATGACTCCTTAGTAGCATACCTCCTCAAGTTCACCAGGAAGAAAATCAAGTACTTGTAAAACTTACTACAATCATAATATCATTCAGCCATTGAACCTAGATTCATTATTGTGTTGAATTAGAAGTTGTCTTTAGTATGAGGTTTTAAACGTGAACTGAGTTAGTTATGTAAATCCTCCGTGATTTCTAGCTGTTTCCAAGCTGCCATGAAAAGTGTCTTAGATTTTTACCTATTCTTCAAAGTCACGTGCATGATTAAATCGACAAACTCTAGCTAACACGAAACATATGTGGAGAATTTTTTGCTGGTTACCTTCAACTACCACCTAACATCTCAGTATAGTGTATGTAATGTCAACTCATATTAGTGATCACTTTCCAAACTGATCGATAGACTTAAGTCAGAGTTAAAGGACAATAAGTAAAGATGGCACTGGTCACTTACTAGTCAAGGTTCAACTAACTGTACATAGATAATTCATTTAACACCCATGATGTGTTTCCAAAAACGTTTACCCAAAATTATTAATCCCTAATGAATAAAATATAGACAATAATTCTCAATATGGGGTAGTAGACGTCAAGTATTTTTTCAAAACTGAATATTCTAGATTCGAGTCCTGTGTGCGAGATCGTGGATGCGCACTTCCCATACGAGGATGAACCGGCCGTTTAGTGCTTCCTGGTTCTCATTAGTAGCCTAATATCCTTTGTTAATTATAACAAAAAACTCTCCACATTACAATCATCATCTATCCATACCAATTTTCCATTTTGCATTTTCTTCAAAGAATACACTTTTTATTCCATTGTTAAGTCTTCTTCATCTATCTCCTCATCAAAATTTACGTTTGTCTCTTTTTTGTTTGTTTTTATCTCACATAGCGGCACCTAAATATGAAAGTCATGTGAATATTTTAGCATCCTCCGTTAAAGAACTGGATAATCTTGAAAAGCGATCACAACAAGATTTTTTGCGTTTACGATATGACGAAGAATTAGCAATATGAAATGATATGGAGTTAATTTCTCATTAATTGAGTTGTTGTTACTGTTTTTTTTTGTTTTGCTGAGTTTGTTTATTTCTCCTTCGTAATAACACTAATGATAGTAATGATCGTTACTATTATTCACTTGTAATTTTGCCAACAAATGAATGAGTGGAAATGGTCTGTGGATATTATACTTAAAGACACTGGTTAATTAATATATTTTAAATTAACATTTACGCTGTATTGTGTATGTCTTTCACTTATTGCGCAAGCTCGTTATTTAAAATATAAATTTTGATGTGAATGTTCTGAGGATAATCTAAATAAACAGTTGTTCATTGGATTATTTGTGTATTTCACCTAGTTAACCAAATTTTACTCGAGAAGTAATAATGTAATTCGCAGACGTATATCTAGTTAGTATGGCTGGTTTAATTGTAATGTCCAGTTTATCAGTTTTTTTATATTTAGACAAATTAGATTGCCCTTTTGAGTATTGACCTATGAAAACGAACTCCCAGTACTTTGATACAACAGATGCTGATTTCCATCTACAAATCCACAATTTATCACAAATAAGATATATACCACGGTATATTATAATTCATTCAAAATCATATTAACACAGTTGACTACTTGTTTAACACATGCTGTATGATGACTTTCTTTTACCAAATAGTATATCGACATCTAAATGAGCATAATATGGACTTTGAGTATTGATTGTTTTTGTATGGAAACTGAACATCAGATTGTCAACTGTTTCATTTAAAAAATAATTTGGTTGAAAAGAACACTCAATCTTCTATTCTTAATTTAAAGCATGTATCTCCTTTTATATATTTTGACAAAACAACTCTGTCTTCTCATTGTTCTATCAGAATTCTTAATTCGATTAAAGGTGGCCTAAGTCAGTTCGCTCTCCATTATTCATATTTTCAGTAGACTAATTTTTATTAGAAAAGGTGAATAAAATAACTGGTTATAGTCTTTTCAGATATTTAAATCACATTATAATTAATAGATTAACTTGCGATAATATAAAATGTTTGAATTTCATTAAATGAAATGGTTTATTACATAAACCACTGTAAAACCACTAAAATTACTTATTAATTCGTTAAAATATTTCTAGATAAGTTGTCGTCGCCAAATGTCTACGGGCATTTTTCTGGGTTTATAGAGTAACTACTGGAAAAATTAACTACATGCTTTTATAAATCTTTAAATATTTTGAATTGATGTACGAAATCGGCGCTTAAACATTTTTACCCAGTCACATGTCTTAAGTAATACTTTTTCAAAACATATTTTACGTATGACATAATTCGAATTAATTACAAATGTCTAGTACAACATTTTTACCGTTCAATTGCTAGAAAACTGACTGAACAATTTAATTATTTTGCAATAGTGTTTTATTCAATCGGTCTTTTAATATCAATTTCAGTTGTGCATAGTAAACATAGATCAGCCAGTCAGTCAGCTACAACGTAGGACCAGGCACATATATGCATCGGTCCAAGTTGCCATACCTCATTAACACAATAAGATGAACACCGGATTCATAAAAGTAGTCAATTCAGAGGTGGTAATATATAAAAGAAAGATTGCAATAAGGATATAGTACAGGAAGAAAGAATTAGTTCGTAGAAAGAAAGATATGAAGCGATTTTAATCTCTTAGTTTAAAGGAAGACAGAGTGTGTATACACCGACGCCATTGTGATCGATTCTGAGCCATGTCACCAAGAGTCTCCAACCATTGGTTACGAAAGTCACGTGGACCCCAACCAAGTAATCTGCATCTACCAACATGGCTCAGACTAGAAGTTAGTGACCTCAAGCACTGATGCCATGCTTTCGTTTGACCGCCCCTAACTTTCTTCCAACCATCCCCAACACCAGTTAGCATTGCGCGTCGTGGTAATTAGTGTTCGGACATACGTAACACATGGCCCAAGCATTTCTGTCGATGAAGATTCACAACGTCATGAACTGATTTACCATCATTCCCTAATACCCTGTGTTTAACCTCCCTATTACTTACCCGGTGATCCCAGCAGACGCCAGCAATATTTCTGAGGCATCTGTGGTCAAATACTAGTAGCTTACGAGTGTCTTCTACTTTTAATGGCCATGTTTCGCTGCCGTAAAGTAAAACAGAACGGACTGCCGCGCAGTATACTCGTCATTTTATTGATAGACGGATATCTCGCCTTCGCCATAGGTGACGTAAGTTGGCAAAAGCCAGGCGAGCTTTTCGAATCCGTGCTGAGATTTCGTCCGATACCAACCCATTAGGGCTGATCAGACTTCCAAGATAAGTGAAGTTGTCAACGCGTTCGACTACTTCACTCCCTATCCTTAGTTCCGATGTTGACACAGACCAGTCCTGAAGCAACAACTTGCATTTAGAGGGAGAGAAGCGCATTCCAAACATTCTGGCATTGTTGCTCAGTGTTACCAAAAGACTGCATTTTATCAGCGTCTTCACCAAACAGAATTATGTCATCTGCGTATTCTAAGTCGATAAGTGGACCTCCTGGAAAGAGATCAATACCCGAGAATTCAGTAGACGAGAATGTTATTTCCATCAATAGGTCTATGATGAAGTTAAACAAAAATGGAGAAAGTGGGCAGCCTTGACGGATACCACTTGAGGTTGCAAAAGTAGATGACAGTTCGCCATAACCTCTGACTCGACTAATAGTGTTCGAGTAAAGAGCCTTCACAAGGTTTATGTACTTCTGAGGTACAGCTTTCAATGACACACTGCCACAGAATCTCGCGGTCTATCGAGTCAAATGCTGCTTTTATGTCAAGAAAGACCACCATTGTCGGACGCCGGTAAGTATGCCTATGTTCTAGAACCTGACGAATGGTGAATATGTGGTCGATGCAGCCACGACCAGGTCTAAAGCCAGCTTGGTTCTCTCGTGTTTGCAGTTCACGAGTCTTAGTTAAGCGTCTGTTAATTATCGAGGCTAGTATTTTAGATACTATATTAGTTAAACTAATCCTTCTATGATTGTCACAGGATGATTTTAACCCTCTCTTATATATTGGGACGATAAGTGATTGTGACCTGTCAGAAGGAATAACGTCTAACTACCAGATTTTAGATAAAATATTAGTCAACCTAACCGCTAAAATTGGACCACCATCATTAAAGACCTCTGGAGCCAGTCCATCTGGACCAGCTGCCCTTCCTCGTTTCAGATTAAATATAGCCTTTTGAACTTCAGCAAGAGTTGGGGGACCTACCTCAATGTTCCATTCACGCTGTCTGGGAATGGAGGGTAGTTGTAGAGTAGCTGAAGGCCAGTTGAACTGTTCTCTGAAATGTTCCGCCCATCGTTCTAAACGTCTGGACTGGGAGCAGATGAGGGTGTCGTCTTTCTTCGAAATAGTCTGACCTACATCTGATTTGTTGTCGCTCTTCATCGTGTTCAGACCTGATGGGATGTTTACGAGAATCCATCAGTGCAATAGACCTTGAGGAAATCCATTGGTTCTTTGTAACCCTGTGGTTTAAATCATTGATAGATTTCACTGCTGTTTCCATAGCTGTTTGTACAGCTTTCCAAGCAACATCTGGGTCAACCTCGTTTTCAGAACTACCTAATTGTGACCTCAGTTGTTCATGGAACCTACTTTTGGTTTCCTCGCTACTCAATTCAGTTCTAATGGGTCTTTTTACTGAGGCTTTTATGCGTCCAGTGAGGCGCAAGCGGATGCGTGCTCGTATTAGGGCGTGGTCGGAGTCCAAGTAGGTACTTTAGGATGAGCGACAATCTTCTACCGACCCTCTCCAACGATGACTGATGGCAATATGGTCTATTTGAGTCCATCGTCGGTTTGGTGTAGGGGGTCGCCATGTTAGACGATGTCTCTCCTTATGCTTAAAATTTGTGTTTGCTAAAAATAAACGATTGTTTTAGCACAGTTGCAGCAGACGCCCATCATTATCTGTTCGTTGTGCCGGAATACTAAAATACCCACCTAAATGCCTTTCTGTTTGGTTTAAACTACCTATCTAGGCATTAAAGTCACCTGCTACGAGTACTATGTCCGAGAGTTTAGCTTTTTAAAGTTCATATAGCTTTCTGTAAAATTCATCTTTCACTTCATCTGAGCTGCAGTCGGTGGGAGCGTAGGCAGAAACAACAAAAAGGCAACGACGTGTGTCCCTATCCTTCCGAGTTCTTACGGAGCCGTTTAGCCGAACAGCACATAGACGATTGTTGACGGGGATCCACTCTAGCAGTGCTTGTTCCGCCCTCATGCTTAGTGCTATGCCTACTCCTGCCAGTCCACGAGAGCTGGTCGTCGAGTCACCAGATAAACGGAGAATGTGTCTCGTCGGCTCTCCGTTTTGCCGAGGTGAGGTCAAGTGAATGACCACACTGTGATCCTGTATGCGTGTTTCAGAGACACAGCATACATCAATGGTACGAGATTATAGGGTTCTAGCCAGGGAAGCCTGCTGACCGATTTGACATACGTACGTTGAAGGCTCCAATGTGTAGTTTAGAGCGAGGTTTCAATAGACCTCGGACAGTGTTTTGAGCACTAGAATCGTTGGCTATGGTGACACTTGAGGAGGAAACCAAAAGAGGAAGTTTAGAGGTGAAAGTCGATGTAGGAGGAATAATAGGAATTGAAGAGGAAGGTTGATTATGAATGCAGTGGTCTTGACTGTTGTTAAAGGTATGAGGACGACTATCACTTCTTGGTTGCCCACACTGTGGAAGGGTTCTTCCGGAGGTACCTGGAAAGGAAATTGGATTACAGGTGGTCTTAGTGGCCTGAGAGCGTGAACGCAGTGCAGTGCCCAAGGGACAACTGCTTGAGGTCGGTCACACACGACCTTTTTGTGAGTAATTTTTGTATTAGCTCCGTACTTGTTGAGACCTTACCGCCGGAGACGGATATCCGTGGGATGAGGCGAGGTGTGCATTTTTAGGGTCGACCTTTTCTAACCCCACCCCTCCTTGTGGGAAGGTAGCATCGCTGTCATGCTGGTTGTCTGAAGGAAACACCTTACTGCAGTCACATCTCTGTACAGTGAGCAGTGCGACATCGCCTTCGGACCTTGGGCTTGTTGCTTTTAGTCTTACCGCTCATCAACCGACCTGTCTGACATGGTAGGACATTGAGGAACGGTTGTTCCAGCCAGTATAGATCGGTTGCTTCATCACGATAGGCAACCCCGACCATCACGTTAAAGTAGCAACAACTAATATCAACTATTCAACATTCACACAACAACACACCTAGTTGATGCCTCTCAACATACATCACATCCGTATCTCATTGTTTGGGCTTAGTGAAGACAATTGAATTTTAAAAGCTTTTACCTAAGTAAATAAAGTTGCTTTATTAGTTCTCATGTGCTGTGCTCATAACAAGAGGTAAAAAATAGTTAATTAAGAATTATTCGATGCTTTGAAGCTGATTTTTATGCCACAAATATGATTAGATAACGAATCCTCAGCCTTCAAAATCTTTTAAATGACCAAGAAATCATAGCCTCACACAGGACTCCACTGTTTAATGGAATCACGTGATTGGGTCATTTTACATAAATGTTAGAGTGAAGAAGTGAACATTCGACGGTCATAATAAATAGCTAGATATTCAATTCTTGAACTATATACAAGATATACGCTTCAACAACTTTGAGAAATAAATAGTATATGAACTTAATATGCTTTCAACATCATGAGAATGCAACCACTTGATTCATTCTATATCGTGGGCCGGTTATCTTGTTTAAAGCAGTCAATTGCCTCATACCAGTTGTATCGTACTCAGTTAATCACTTTGTAAAGTATTTACTGTCTTGTAGTTTTATTATTTTGTTCTACTCTGGAGCTCTCTAGTGCAGAACTTTTATCGGTCTCTGTCAATTAAATTTGTTCAATAGTCACTTTAAATACTATCCTCGAATGAAATAGCTGACACATTTTCCGAAACTATTCGCTTCATTTCCAATGATTTCACCTTAGTATATATCAGATAACTATCGGTTTAGGCTAATACTCTTTAATGCATTCTATTTCGCTAGTGACTTGGAATGTTAAGGCGCTGTTGGGC